ATATATATATATATATATATATATATATATATATATATATATAAACACATATATTTGATATACCATACTAATGTATTTGCTACCCAAAAAAAGTCCACAGTGTTCTCTTTAACTGATAAAACTATGGAAAAAATCGCTTCGATAGCACAGTTACTCGGCATTACCAATGCAAAAAGAAATGCAAAAAATATAGTTCTGCAATGGATAAGACAGCGCACCTCATAGTCACCGCAGCTGATGAGCAAATCGAACTTATAGCCTTCTCGTCGTTCGATCTCTGCTACTGTTGCATAAATTTTATCCATTTCACCATGCGAACATCCAGCAACTGCTGTAATATTAAATCTACTAAAAATTAAGTTCTAAATAGCATTTATATGTAAAGGTTGGAAGAATTTGGGTTTGTAGAAGTTGCAAATTTCTTCCGACTGACTGCCCCACTTATTTCTTCAGTGCATAAAAAAAATTTCTGATGAATCTGACCTTTTTGCATCTCAAAAAAAGTACAAGAGTAATGGCAACTTGTTCCAGAATATGGAATGCAACAACGAGGATTTTTGTTTTTGATCCTATTATAATTGGATATTTTCTAATACGATATCATACTGACCGATATGAACTTTACGACTTAGTTTTTGTCGTTTAGTAGATTCGGTAACAGTTGAACTTGCCGAAGTGGATGGCTGCTCCTCGAATAATGCCGAAATATCGTTTTGTTCTGATTTACATTTATTTCTTGTACTATCGTTCATGATCACTCTTTCAGATAGCAACAAAATAATCTAAATTGTAAACAAATACGTAAGTTGACATATACGTGCAAATGCATGCACTTCTACTCGTACAATACTTTTTGTTTTTGGAACAGCAGAGAAATTCAGGGAGAAGTGATGATAGCCGAAAATCAAACAAGAAACAGCAAGATGAAAAATGCATTTCAGTAGCCTCAAGTAAGTCAAGAAGCTCAAAAAATGAGTGGGTTAGAGAAAACAACTGAACAATTAGTGTAGTTTCTCCTGGGAAGCCTCTAAATTCATGCTGAGGTTTGAAGTCATATTATCATCAATGGAACTGTTGCTACACTGACTATCCGAACCAATTCAGATCAGTTCAGGAAATGGAAAATAAGTGGTTAATGAATACTAGTCGAATTATTTTTTAAGTAGAAATGAATGGTAACTTTCAGTAGAAACCACTAACACTGGCAGATTATAATACCTAAACTACTGAGACTATCTGGAAAGTCAGTCATTAATAGAGCTAGCTGAAAATTTTGTCCGTCGAAATTAGATAACGCCATCGCTCCATCCATTCTTTCTGCTGGATGAAACAAGGATTTTAAGTTTATGCACGAAATTATTCCTAACGAAAACGTCAAACTATCTTCACCTTAGTTGATCTCAGGTGCACGGAAGCAACAAACATCAAAACCCAAGTATTGAAAAAAGCATTAGTCAGGGGCGATAATTAACAAAGCCCCACTACGCAAATATCTAACCCACCTCAGCTAATGCATAAACATCCCGGTCACTACACCATACCTGATGTCTGATACGATTCGGATGACATAACCAGCCTCTGAACCACTCAAAAGGATCGGATTGGGAACTACTTGTCCGATTCATTCTGAAGAATATGTGTCTCAATCTGATTGCGTACGAGAAGTGCAAAACACTCCACCCGTATACGCACTCTGGAGTATCCCATCTTCCGTAAAATATCACGAACATACTGTGATCTAATGTCCTGGGATGAAATTTCATGTCTCTAGTTATTTTCTACGGCTCTCTGGTTAATTCACGCACGACTTCAACACAACTAACAAGATCATTTATGACTTCAGAAGTGATAGTTGGGGTCGGACGTGTGCCTCTGTACGTGATATGCCACGCGATCCCAAATGTTGTGTTTCGTAAAAAAAACTTGCTTGCTATAGAAAAAAAAAATTCCATAGTTCAAAGTTAAGCATGAGCACGACACGTCGTCGACTGTATAACGAATAATTACCCCTAACTCAGATAAAACATTAGAATTCCATTATATTCTTCAATTATAAATACGGCAGAAAATTTGAACAGAGGGGGAATTATAACGGATCCTTGGGTACAATTTTAATATCAAGAACTGCAAACAATTCTCACCTAATAGTTGCAGCAGTAGGAGCAAATACAAATGTACTATGTTAAACTGTCATATGAATCACATTCGACAATGACAATTCCTTGCTTGAATTCTTTGCTTGAATTTTTTTTTTTTCTATCTAAATCGTTTCATAAGAGTCAAGCTGTTCAAAGAAAAAAGAAAATATCTACATTTTCAGCAGTTATTCAAATAAGACGAGCCCCCAGATCATTATATCCTTAACGTAAAACTTCGAGGAAGACACTTTTCTACTCCCATTAACTTATTTATTCAATATATAAAGGGCATAGAAAGTCATACTGCACATGCATTACAATATTTTATAACAATCATCATGATTCCATATACAAACCATTATAAGTTACGTCACGTACGACATATATAGAGCCTAAACACTTCTGACTAATTGGGAAACAAATGACGTAGTCTCGTTAGTTCATGAAGCTACCGATGCTTTCATTTTTTTTCCCAGTGTTATCTATACTTTCACAAGACATCTATTCAAAAGAATAATAATGGATTATACCATAAAATGTGATTTCGGTAGAAAGTTGAACTACCAGTATGGTTCATCTACTATTTTCCTTCATTGCCGTAATCCTTTTCTAACATTTGTTTCCTTGATTTCAAAAAAAAATTCCTTACAGGAAAAATAAGGTAGATGCTTTCTTTTCTTTTGAAGTATCTGTCTATATCCATACACAAAATAATACAGACCGACGTTATAAAAACATTCAGCGTATAAATGAAATCTGTGAATAGAAAGTAACCGCGGCGAAAAAAAATCATCTCTATGGGTATAGACAGATGTGATTCCACATAACTTTTTCCTTCTAGTTCTTGTATGATGGGCCTGAAATATAGAAAAAGTATATTGCTAATTTAGAATACAGGCGTACAAAGCAGCTAGAAAGAAGAGGAGTATTACACTTGCTCCGGATGGCACGGGTGCTGCAAAGGATGGAAGTTAAAGTGATCACTGATATGTTAAAAGATTTCGCAAACTAGTTTCAGCGTGAGCTAATGGAACTTAGTTAGATTCCATACCAAATTTACTAGTACCATCTTTCACTGAGGTAAAAGGACAAAGAATCGAAAAACCAATTAGTACTGAAAATTTCAATGTGAGTTCATGAAACATACTCTGGCACACAAATATTTTCGGCGAGCGGAAGCTATCGCAATCAGCAGACATCCACTCTCCTGCGTAAGCTGCGTAAGCACAATTTTTGTTATCTGTTATATCTGGTTGTCCTGTACGCCAGAAGAAAAAATGTGCTCGAGTTCCATAGGTACTAGTATCCCAGTACCAATCTCTCTTCCCTATAGCAATATATTTTCAAATTCAGGGTTGATGAAAAATAAGTCCCATTAGCCGTAAGGTTGTACTTTAGCTACGAAATCTTATCTGTAATTCCATATATAAAAATAATAATCAGTCAAACAGAAGGGAAAATCATAGATTAAGAAGCAAAAAGGATTCGTTGTATTTAAATTTAATTCCACATCGACTGCACTGTAATCTATTGCAGTAAATCTGATGAATTTATTAACCGCATTAACATATATCAGACTTCTCTGTAACAATACAAAAAGAAGCTAAAGCTCAACCTACACTTAAACGCTGTGATAAAAATTTCTGAGCACTGAAGGGCTCTTTTTTATCACCAATAGACAATAAAGTCATCTAATCATAATTAAAGAAATAGTGTAATGGAAGCTCTACAAACAAATCTTACAGAACCTTAATTACTATATGGAGAGAAAAAAATTGTACCTTTCCTCAGGCCAAGCCAGAACGATTTTCCTCCAGCAAGCCCTGTAAATAAATTTTTATTTAACATTATATTTCCTTTAAATAAGCATTTATCTGCATGCGAATTCAATCAAAAGACTAAAAACTACAGAGGAAAAAGACTGAAAAACCTAACCTAACAAATTTGCAACAAAAATGTTCAGCCAATTAGAAAAATTTAATAATAATTAAATCACAATTCATTTTAAATACATTGTCGAGTAGTTAACCACTTTGATTCTGCACATCGTTTTTCCTCCTCGACTTTTAAATAAATTTTCAAGTAGCTTCAAAACGCATTTCTTCAATAAAGCAATAACATATAGTGTTCACCCTTACCATAAACTGTATGTGCTTCTTCTTTGTTTTTGATTTTGACTATTTCACTATCCATCAGATTGCAAATTGTTCTGATGGCAAAACGTGGCATGAAATTGGTAAATCCCTAAAAATCAATTTGAATGACCGCTCCATATCAGTATGACCCTATTACTTCAGGCAGATAGAATTCATTCGAACTACAAACAGATATAGCAAATGGTAATAACAAGGTCCAGCACCGTAACTAAGCATATCCTCTGTAACGACTGGTAAATATAATGTACGCTACATGCATTAGTGTTTTTGCGAATCTTTCTGCTCTATAATGACACTTAGCCATGCACCTTATCAAAATGTTCAGGAACTTTAGATGAAACAAAGAATAACTGAGAAACCAATTAGTACGATCCCTAAAAATGATGATATTAGCTAGAGCTAATAGATGCTAAAGAGAAATAAAACAAACCGCGAGATAGCAGTAGTCATGACGATAGACGAATGATGTTTGACATTTCTGCCCTGAAATAAACTAGAAAAGGAAACATTTCGATAATACTATATATTTTTCAGAACTAAATAGCGCGTCTCTGGGTCAAATGAAAAGCATGTCATTGAAGACCAAGTCTAACCCACCCTTTGTGTGAAAAAGTTGAGTTTCCGCAGAAGATTCTGAAGAGTACAAAATGTCCGTAAAATAAAAATGCAAGAATCATGAAACGAGAATTTCTTGATATCTGTCGGATTACCGAAATTAAAGCTACGTTCAAAAAAAATTGGCACAATATCCAACAGACAGAGTGACGAAATCTTGTAAATAAAATTGGAGCGACGAAGAGGATATAAGCCAGCACAAAGACTGTATAACACAAAGATAGCATTGTACCTACACAATGTACAAGGCCAAAGGCTAGCCATACCTCCATGATAACCCCAATGGAGCTTACAAACTCCTCCCCAATCCTCACATATATATATATATATATATATGGAAAAATCTAAAGAGAGTTAGTGTTTTTTACAATCGAGCAGACGACACATCCTCTACGCTTACTCTCCACGACTGAACTACAACGACATCTTCCCAGATCCGCCATCACGGGACAACAAACTACGATATTCTTACTACTTGCTAAATACATTTCCCGTAACATATCCCCAACTCAACGACCTATCAACGAATCGGCAGTAAACTATTATCGAAGGCAAAGACAAGGAATTTATTAGTTGATCATATTGCTTGCTTTTGTATAACTCATCACTGCTTACCAATTTATCGTGTAATATATATACATATATAATCTTTATACCTTCTTTTTTTGTAATATTGCGCAGGAACAATATTACATCCCGAATAAATCTATATCGCTAGAAACGATTTCAATAGCTTAGCTTTCCCGACAATACCATCCTAATTTAGTACGATTTACAAGCTTTTAACTTTACCGTTAAGTTTCGAGTCAACGCCAATTATACTTATCTGAATTAAGGCATAATTACATTTAACCCATAGTTGCATTCCATAGAAAAAAAAAGCTTTGCAACTAACGTAAATAATTCGCATTATTGTTTAGTGAATGCCTTACACTAATAATAATTATATATGGAAAATGCACTTCATTTAATAGTCAAAAAATAAACCAATATATGCAGTGGCGTTGTTCGGAACCGAAGATCGAGGCACTTCTTCTGAAATAGAAATTAGAAAAAAATGAAGCTAGCGAACAGGAAATCACCAACACTGTCCTATTATTTGGTGCAACACATATCATAGTACATATTCAATACAACATGTCTTTTTATACATATGGCAATTTTAGGTGTTATTTACTTTATCCTCAATATGTTTCTCAGCGATTAAATTCTGGTCTTTTCTGAAGTAATATTTTTCAACTTGCCTAAAGACCCTGGCAACCTGTCTCATCACGGTTCAACTGTTGCCGGTCCATCATGACAAGGTATTTAAATTGGACATTTTAAAGAGAAACAATTCTCAATGATTATTATCATTATTGAAGCACTTTTTATTTTATTCACGAAAAAGTGCTTACTTTTACAAAAAAACGTGACTTTTTCATCTTTTCGGAATCAAAGTTCCAATTCACAAAATTTTTTTCGATCTCGTCATTTTCTTCTTTAACCCAACCAGCGCGTATAGCTAAGTCTGAAAATCGATATTAAAGACAGTTGCATGCGAAGAGATGAAATATATCAGAAGGTATTAGACCATTTTCTCGTATAAGTTATAAATTGCTTAACAATCTGTATGGTACACAGAACTTTGCAACAGTAAGATAATTCCTTCCGAAAGACCATTCTTCCGAAAAGCTAAAAAAAGTGAATGCTATTCATTTTTGATGAAACACGTTCTTTTTCCACCTGAGCACTCGTTATTAACCTTATTGAAGAAGAGAAAAGAAAAAAGCGTAAAAGGTCTCCTGACTCCTCCTTCATTTCACTAACTACTAATGGTGTAATTCTTACATGACAACAAGGCATTTTCAGGAGAGAGTGAGGTTTCAGATCCTCTATCTGGTGAATAAACTAATTTTGCCTTTAATTCCATACATTCCAGTAACGCATCCTTGTACGTCTTTTCCGTCGTCGACTTAAAGAGAAACAATTCATTACCGAGATGACAGTACTGATATGCAGCCGAGAAGTCACTCCCGGAACTGCATGCCGTGAGCGGCTCACTTTATAATGCAACAGAAAACTAGGTAAATATTCGAAATAGAGAAAACATATTTTCTTCAAGTATTCCTTTAGAAATAGACCAGATTAATGGAGATTTTATAGATCTAGTTCTATTACTATTTGTAATCGATTAGTGATAAGCAAAAGAATGTACTAAATGACCAGAGTTCCAATAATTTCCAGCATTCGTATGTCTAAATTAAATTTCGATTTATTTTTTTGCTTAAACAATAATAGCGTTATTAGTGATGTAGTATAGCTCGCATCTCATAAGGAAATTCATTGAACTAGAGAAGTAGAAATCTGCTATAGCGACAAATAAATGCCACTGCTTATTATGTACACTATTTGTAATTTCAAAGCTAGCAAAATTTCGTACTGCCACTTTGACATGATTTATCTATCCCACCCTAAACATAAAAGCTCCCTCTCTCCAAATAGTATTCCAAAACAGTTACCTCCTGGATTGTGATTTCAGAAGAAAATAAACATACCGAGCAATAGAATGCGCTATACCAATAAAACCAGTTGTCGCCATCGCAATTAAGTTCTAAAAACTCTATCCACAAGGTAGCACAAATTCTCAAAATATTATCTGTATTGAGAATGATATTTACATAACATACTTTAACTGTTGCATTATTTGCCGCATTTCACTTTATAAAAGAAAACCCAATTAGTTACTCCAGATAATTCCAATTATATTAAGAAGAACGGTTTAATCTACCCCATAAAATTAAAGCACTAGCAAAAATCGATAAATTAACTGGAACCTTGAGAGGGAAGTAATTTCTGGATACTTTAATTAAGGAATCAAACTTCCCTTGTAGTATGGAGAAATGCATTTGAAAAATCTTAGAGATTTTCTCCACGACATGCTTCTTTGCATTTTTAAGAGAATAATTTGGACTCTTCACATAATAATTTCTCGTCATGTTACTCTGATTCAGTTTTCCGTCTCATAAAATTGAATAATCCAAAGCTAACCACTGAAACGTTGAACTCGTAAACAATTTTCATACAAATCGCAGAATTCATCAAACCGACAAGCATCACATTCTGAAAAAACAATTCATAATGTATAATGTTACTTTCCCTAATTTTATTTTTTCTTTTTCTTTTGAAGGAAAGGTAGACATAAACGCACAGAGTCACGCACAGAGTCAGTAATTATCACAGCATGATTAAACCATTAAGAAAACTACACTAATGAGAAAATCATTTGTTGTTAGAAGCCTTGCAAACATGATTGTCTTCATTTTGAGCAGTATGTTATCGAAGTATAATGAATGAAAATAAACGATGAGCGATGTCATCGAGATGTCAGCGATGTCATTCATGATGCAAGTGTAAAATAAAATCAGAAGAAAATCTCGAGACAACTTAGTCAATTGAAATAACAAGCTTTATGTTGGGTGATGTAAAATGTTACATGTTTTTGTGCTGAATGATTACATGAATTCAAGATATTACGAAATTTCGACGAAACTTATTTCACAAAAGATTCTGAAGATGACAGTTCATAAAAAAGCATGCGAACTCAACTACAAATAATTTCGACGGTAAGAGTAATCCATCCTAATACTTTTAACACCTACTTCATGACCTTTAATACTTACCAGCTGGCACACTTCGTCGATACGTACATTCAAATCTACGACAAACATATCTCATTACAGAACCAGAACCACCATTACCACATTCTGAGGAAACTCGACAAGCTGAAAAAAAATTATCTTTTATCTCTTTTTTCTTCACCACTTCATATGAAATTGGACTCTTTTTGAATGAAAGAACTCATGAAACAGATATAGGATAAATAAGGAGAGGAAAATCTGTACCTGGAACAATGACTTAGAAACTCTGCTTACCCCAAAGCAAAAATTTTGAGTACTAATCAAAGTGCATACGATTAAAGAAGGGAATATACCAGTTCGAATACTTTAAGAAAGTATTCAGTGCGCGTTTACCAATGTCAAGGATAAAAATGTTCAAGGGGTAAAAACAATAGATGAATATGTCCCCTGAAATAACCAGTGAATTTTGAGGACAAACAATTAGTCTGAAATAGTTCTGCAAAATGGCAACATGGGTTCAGCAACAAAAACCTACTTCTATATCTCAGTGCCCATCTTCCTTCCTCGCACCCACCATCTGAGTTACACGTCGCACGAAAAGTACATTCATCATTGCTCTTACAACCTGAAAAAATATTTGCTATCTATCCATAATGAAAGTTATAAATAATGAGTCATCGGAATCAAATAACTTTCCTATCAGTCTCATGGTCATTGTACATTTTTACATATATTTTCTGGGAAAAAGTGAATAAAAAAGCACCTATCAAACTGATAATAAACTAACGTTGTCTAACGGTAACCCAAAACGGCTGATAACAAGTCCCTCTTATGCATGTGCCATAGCGTGAGCATCCGCCCTTCTCATCACAGGCTGTAATAATTTGCATATTATTTATAACACTGCTATGATTAATATAATTTGTTCGCAAATACCAACCTAAGTTTCTGAGCCAGAAACTCAGCATAACTACTTTTGTATCTATTACTGAAGCATTTGTTCCTTAATGACCACTTTTTAACAACAGTTATACCATGGAAACTTCGTTCCCACATTTACATGCAATACATTTCTCTCAGAATGAAATTTCTGAGGCATATATGTTATATTCCTTCACGTTAGTATTGTGTTCTTACATGGCTTTATAAAATTAAACTTTTTGATTTTTTGACGAGTTTTTTCCTTTTGAAAAATGACTACTTGCAAAGAGAAAAATAACGTCGTAATTCACTCAGTGCCAGCGAAACAACTAAAACAACTTGAGGATTTTTTTAATATAAATCCAATTATTAAACTGAATCGTCCATTTTTCAAAAAATAATTTTAAAGCTATATAACATACATTTGTGTTCAGCGTACATAAACGGTGGTGGAAACTGGCATATATATGAGCGGACGTTCTCGTGCTCAAAATAGATTTCACGACATATGGCATTTTCAAAACCTGTTGCTTCCGCGCAAAAGCTTGGTGCTTCATGCTTGCATGCTGGAACCATTTAATAAGCTCATTTAAACGCCAGATACAGCTCATTAGCTGTGAAATTGCACACTATTCATTATCGTTGACAATTTGCACCGCCTAATTCTTGATTTTACGTGTGGAGTGTTTTCTTGATTTATAAAAATCACCAACACAGTAAAACAAAAATCTAGCTTAAAATCGAAAAAAATACGGATATGCATGAAGGATTCCACTACATATCTGCCATCAGACATATTATAGCACTTTTTATAAAAACCGCATTTGAAACCAAGTGGACAATTTGCGTCGGTATAACAGTGATCTGAAAACTAATAATCTTTGCTGAATCGTTCAAGTAAATAATTTTAAAGTTGGATACAGTTCTCCCAAATTTGTAGTATTACAGTAGTTGCGGTTAAATGATGAAATAAATGTGTAATGTGAAACACATGAATGCGTGTTAAAAATAATGCCTGTAATTACTAAGAACGGAAGAGCGCACAACGTATTAAGATTTTGAAATATAGAAAGAGTAAGTAATCCGACAAATTAGACTTTATTTTCCTCGGTTTGACACTATAAAAGCGTAATGGTAAAGAAAAATCAAAAAACCATAACTAACCAGGTCGAACATTAACTACATCACTAATCAATGGAAGGCGTTCTTGGCATGAACCACCCCGGCAAACCTGTTTTATAGGACAATCATCGTCAACGTAACAATCTTTAAGCAAAATGGACTTTGTTAGCATCATTTCCATATTGAACACTGAGATTAATTTTATCATTTATAGAGGAAACTGGATGTACCGAAAACTATTGCACCTATATCACTTCCATGAATTATAGGGGTAGTACATTTTATAAGATGATCTTCGCCAGCAGCCTCATAATTTGTTCAATCGCATCTATGTGTACATTCAATTCTCTAAAAAACTACGTATATTTACTTAACAAAATGGATTCAATCAATATCGGTCAACATATCAGATCATGAACAACGAGTGAAACAATGTACACTTCAACTTAACATCCATAGAACTAGTTGTATTCCCGCCAGAATATATTTAATTTTTTCAGCTAATTGAAAAAAATTTTTGAATAATCCAAATATGTCAAAGACTTAAGCTACTTCATCATGCCTGGCTTATTTCGAATGATAAGGTGAGTTTGCCAAATAGCCAACTGTTTATAATAGATATTTCTAAGGATCTCATATTTAAACTGTTATACTACATTCAGTTATCGAATATTATTGCAACTAAGAAAGTTCGAGTTAACAGTTAATTCATAACTGCTTCTTCCAATGCCGGCAAGTATACAATTTTCTTCAATTTCACTTTTAGTCATTTAGTTCGTTATCAGTGAAAAACAACAAAACCAATACACGCATACATGAGGGATGCCTTCCTCGGTTAAAATAGCAAACACTTAATTTTGACATTTCAATACAAACGCTTACTTTCAATTTCCATCCTATCGGATATCACTTTACCCAGTTTTCCAACGCAGCGACGCCACTCACATCGTCCACTGCCACAGTCGTTATTGGTCCTACATTTTTCTGAAAACATACTGCGGTGTTCTTTTTTTTAGTTATAGGCTCCAGAAACAAATTTCAAGAAAACTAAGGCACAACTTGAAGCAAAGGAGAGCGAAGGTAAATAAAGTTTTGAATTGCAGTAAATGAGCCGAATTTCAGTATTTAAAAGACAAAGTTCTCAAAGATGAAGCACGATACTATATCTAGCTTGAATATTTGCTTTCCGATAGTCATAAAAAAGATTTTAAAAAAAAAAAGTGTATTAAAAGCACCAATGCTGGAAACAGAGATGCACTGGATTCGAACAATACACCATCAAGGACAAAAACATATAAATTTAACTTTTTCTTCAAATTGTACCTTCATTTTTCTCTTTGGAGAAAGCAGTCGAAAATGCGAGCTCTCAAGTGAAAAAATACTCACCGCATGAAACATTTACGAAGAAACTTAAAAGTACAGTTAACAGAAGTGAAGGTATCATCCTTTTGTATTTCGGAAGCAAGTAGCTGCCGGCAGAAATTCCCCGATGTTTAAAAGTTTCAAAAATGATGATCTGCATGATAAAAGAACAATTCTGCAGTGAAGCTTGACGAATAATTTACATGATAAATGGGTGCCTTCACAATAAACTATCTATCCGTTTTCAAAAAAAAAGACATTCTTTTTTACATTTTTTCTGCAAATCGTTTTCTTCATTTCTTCATACATCGAAAAAAAAATCTTTGAATAGAAACAAAGTACATTTTTCATTTTGAACCGATATGAAAATGCAAATGAGAAAAGAGAATACATTTTTTGTTCGAAATGTTACTGTTCCCCAATATTCCACTTTCTGTTATTTACCATATTTTCAATGGAATCAACATTGGAAGATGCTATCCATCCTTTAGAGTACTCTAGTTGTCTAGATTGTGTCCAACCTCTATGCCAAACATTTCTAATTCATTCCCAGTTGATAATGGCGACACTGTCGAGAACAGCACTGGTGAATGGCTATCCAGTCCAGTATAATCGCCGGTATCACTCAGCATATTTTGATGACCAAGAAAACCAAGAGAGGACCAAGAAAGGAAAAATGATGGATTGCTTGGCCACTCTCAAAGAAGTCATTTTTATCATTACAACAGGAAAATGTCTATGAAAAAAATAAATAAGTGAAATAACTTGTCTATGAAATAAGTTTTTGGCAGAAAAAAATCTTTACTGCACAAATGAAATGAACAATTGAAATAGTTCATTTGTTCAGTAAAGACATGCAAGCTTCTGAAGAATTTCTAAATGCGTTGGTTGAAGATGTGTTGAGGACACTTACGTAGTAACTGAACAGCATATTTGCCTATCTGTTCGACAAAAAATCTCAAATTTCATGGCCCTTCATGAAATATTGCGAAATGCAAAATGATTTCAGAGCCTTCCGGAGTGATAAGGACTAAATCCGAAAACCCCCCTAACCAGCCAGATGCTAAAAGAAATAAGAGTCACTACCGAATGCGCACTCAGCAGTTTAAGGAATTGTCTAAACCCATTTGCATAATTCAACCTGTTCTACTAATAGTGGGCACAATTTCTTGTCCTTGTCATTTCACTCATTTCCCCGAAAAGGATTGGAGTTCCCAGTCCTCAGTGGTCGGAGTGCTTGTTCGCCAGTTAGAGCATTAATGCCAGTAAGAAGTATTTCCAGGTGATTTATTGAGAGGGAAGAGAGCAGTATGAATCCGATGACGTTTTGGGTTGTGCGACATGCCGAACGTGAGGATAACATCAATTCGGCATGGCAGAATAGTTCGAAGTTGAAGAGTGATAATTCGCCATTATCGAAAAGGGGACAAGGTTCGTTAGTTGTCATAATCACTTGAAATTCTTGTGATTGGTAGTCTACGGTAGAGCAACAAGATTATTTGGACATGATTGAGAGAGGCCGTCAGTCCCATGGTGGTCTCTCTTGTTAAATCATTGTTTCAAAGTGTTTACACTGGAATGAAAGATGGAGGAAAGATATAAGGAATATAATGACAGGTACTGTTGCCAGGCAGACAATAGTACCAAACTACCAATGAACACGAACAAAATCCGTTTGGAATAGATTTGGTAGCAGAAAGCAATAACTAACTTATTTCATTTCATTCATTTGAAAGTGATAAGTGATGAAAAGGATGACAGTTCGCATCATGTAATTATTGTTTATTGAAACCAAATTTTCAGGACAAGCGGATGAGCTTGCTATTCGTTTCAGTAATATTCATTTGGACCACATCTTTGTTTCACCTTTTGATCGTACTCTCGAAACAGCTACACGACTCCTACGAAGTCACAATAATGCTACCATAAAAGTTGAACCAGGATTATGTGAAGTACAGTTTGTTTCGATATGTGGTTTTGTATATAATTATTTTCCTTGTTTTTTTGCTACGGTAGAAGGGATTTTTGGGAAAAGTGGTGGTATTTTATCCTTTGATCTCTGTTATGAAATTCATTTAAGCGAAACTTTCTTTTGCTCACTTTTTCATTCACTCAGTTCTGATTAACTTTTCGTTGTCAATTTGAGTAAAATTGTTCTTATAGGGGTTATATATGTGCGAAGATCCTCCCGGATATGAGAATCTGGATACCCTGAAAGAAAAATATCCACTTGTTGATACATGTTATACGTCTGTAATGCCGTGGAAGCTTCCGCGAGAAGGTGACGGTGATGCAGCTTGTACACCACGCGTAAAAATGACTTTGGAAGGGATTGAGAAGCGTTTTCCAGGTAATTAATACTATCCAACAAACATGTCAGAAAAAATTACGGCCAAACTTTATACTTCGTGACATTTACGTGTTTGCCTTTTTTGCAAAAGAAATGCTAAACTGAGCACAAGTAGAGACGCAGACCTAATTGTTAAATTGAAAATATACGAATCATTTATTTTTTATCGTATATGATGAAAAGTAGTTTTGTTACAGATACTGAAGTGTTACTTGTGTCTCATGGGGCTCCAATTGGTGCAATCCATGAACTCCTGGGTGGTTCATGGAAATACGTTGGCCAAGCAACGGTATCAAAGTTTGTCAAAAGACCGAAAGGTGGTTATATCAAAGAATTTAGTGGTGATGCATCTCATCTTAGCGACAAAACTAATCTTAGGCCATGGTAATGATTTTGTTCTCTCTCAATGGGTGACGAAATATCTTAACTATTATTGGTTGGAAGCTCCCAGACTGTTATTGGTTAAACTGCACACGTTTAAAATAATGTTTATTTATCAACTGATGCATGACTTTGAAAGGTGTTAAAATTAAACGGCTGCGATAAGATGAATCTTTTGTAGTTTTCCTAATCTTGGACTTCTTCATATACGCTAGAAACTCAAATCTAAGTTCCTGGCAGACTTTGTGGAATAGTTCTTATAATTTCCATCTTAAATTAATTTCCTCTCCTTATCTGAAATTCATTCTGTTCGTGATGTTCTGATTGTCATTTTAAATAAAGATAATGTTACGGCAGATATGCCCATTCCATGTTGATTCACCGAAATTGTCTGCAAGAAAATATATATGGTCGACAGGATTTCTGAGGAAATTTTTTTCTCTCCGGAACAAGAATTGAAAACTGCTTTAACGAAGTTCAATTTAGTATTTGAAGCAACGAGTACCACTAAGAACTCTTTGTCGTATTATTCATGACTGCTTGCCGTTTTAAACCTATTCCTGAATAATTTGAATTAAAGTTTTTAGTGTGACTAATTCTCTATGAATGGTGTATAAAAATTTTGGTTATGAAAAGAGAATTAATGTCAATCATCTCCTACTTGCATTGCAAAATGCAGGCGGGCGATATCGATGTTTCGAAGTTTTCATCAGTTTTCCTCTTTATATCCTTCTCCCCTTGATATCGGGAGAATAATAGTTATCTTTCTCCATCACTGATTGACTGATGAGGAAGATAACACATGATATTATTTATTAAGCAGATATACTCCATATTCGATATACTCCATTTTGAATTATTATCCATTTTGAATTATTAATTAACATTAATGACATTACCTCATCTTCTGAGAGCAGAAAACTACAACATTCGTTCCCATCATTACGGATTAGATAAGCGGATAGATACCAATGGATACATTATTTCAAAGAAGCATATAACTTGCGGGTAGTTCGTGGATTTCTTACATTATCAACCAAAAAGTACCATTTGTCAGGTCCATGCATCGATTAGTTATCAAAGTAAGTTTATTATGTCTTGATTTCCGTATTGTAAGCTTCTGCTAGTAACTACTCCATGTCCTAAAGTGGTCATATGGGTGGAAGAAAATGCGCTTCACTTCATCATCGCCCAGTTAATCAAAAAAAAAAAATGCACTTTTGTGACAGCTCCAAGAATTCTTAATTTTGATGATTTCAATTTTCGGCTTTCTGTGATCTGCTTAGTTCGTTTTTTAATTCTGATTCAACTTATAACTTTTAAATTATAAGCGAGAACTACTACCTGAAGTGAATTTGGGATGTTTAAGAATCACGGGCATTGCCCATTTTCAATTTTAAATTCAAATAATGTTTTCCTTTTTTTGAAAACCTATTACTTTATTAAATGAACTGAGGAGATCGATTCGTCAAACAATTGCTATAACTGTGTATCTTTCAGAAAATATCCAACATACAAGCCACGTCAAAAAATTTTCCGATATTTGAACAAAAATGAATCAATCAATCAATTGAGAAAATCAATTTAGTCGATCATTTAATCTTTATCCCAATTTATTCATCATTTAATGTTCACTTCCATTCGAATAGGTATTGATTTTTGATTTCACTTCATTTGACTCGCCTTCAATTTTTTCAGCTAACTGAAAAAGATTTTTGAATAATCCAAATATGTCAAAGACTTAAGCTACTTCATCATGCCTGGCTTATTTCGAATGATAAGGTGAGTTTGCCAAATAGCCAACTGTTTATAATAGATATTTCTAAGGATCTCATATTTAAACTGTCATACTACATTCAGTTATCGAATATTATTGCAACTAAGAAAGTTCGAGTTAACAGTTAATTCATAACTGCTTCTTCCAATGCCGGCAAGTATACAATTTTCTTCAATTTCACTTTTAGTCATTTAGTTCGTTATCAGTGAAAAACAACAAAACCAATACACGCATACATGAGGGATGCCTTCCTCGGTTAAAATAGCAAACACTTAATTTTGACATTTCAATACAAACGCTTACTTTCAATTTCTATTCTACCTTTCTTTTGAATAATTCTTAATTTACTTATTGAAGGTGTTTACCATCATCAATTACATACCATCATTAAATGTTGCCTTATACATCTTCCACTTATTAGCATTACTGATCAGCTTATTGTTTAGACCTGATTGCCCAAATTTCCTGCAAGGTTCGGTAGTGCTTTAAATTCAATTTTCGCAAGACTGCTAGTAATTCCTCAATGTTGATTAGTGCGACGTAAGTAAACTAAATTTTAAAATTTTCAGTCAGGCCCAAGAAAGAATTGTTTTCAGATTTGATTTTGGTGTCATTCATCTTCTGCAAATAAAATTTGCTTGGGAAATTCCATTTTTCTCACAATTTCGAAGTGCATGATTCCCAATTAAAGTCAGTTCTATGTGAAACCAGTATCGCTTGACGTCAAGTCTATTATTTTTTGGTTTCCAACATTTCAGCTCCATCCACTTTGCAATCTAATTTCATAGCTTCTAGTCTAACTCTCTTTTCTTATGCTACTACAAACTTTTCTCAAAAAAAAAAAAAAAAGTAAATTAGAACCGTTAGCAATGAAGTGGGACGAAAGTTAAGTGACCTCTTTAGAAGTGAACTTTCTGGTTGTAAAATTTTACATTCTAGAGTTTTCGCAATTGCTATACTAGTGATTCCAATTTGCATCTTTCATGCACTCATGCATGCATGTAGCGAGCTATCTCAGTTAATGGATAATAAGGGACAGAAGCTGGGTTTCTGATCTCTACATTTTATCAGAGAAATACTTCCTTGCACTTATTCGTTCAGAACATACGTATTATCAGTTTGGCTTCACTTTAACTCTTTTTTAAAACTTTATAATCTTTAATTTCATTTCCTTTTCTATCTGCCGACATTTTTTTTTGCCACTTTCTCAACCAAGTAATCATTTTGCAAATCGAAATAATCTTTACAACCGATATGATATGTAATATGAAAATATTCTAGGCCTGAAATTTTTTGACCAATTTATGACAGATTCGAAATGGCTTGGAGTGCTGAAATTTATTGTTCTCATTTTTCAAGATAGCACGAAAATGCTTTCCATCCTTTTTAATATTACTTAAAGTTTAGGAATATCACGAATCCATAGCTTCATATTATTTTCCATAAAACTTGATTCATAGAGTTCAGAAAATGCTAATTGTCAACATAACTTCAATTTGCTTAAAAAAACAGCGACATATTATCAGAAATGACCAGGATTGATTTTAGATTGAGCTTTTTTAATTTGCAGATAGGCATCTGGTAATGCTGTTATTTTTTTTTTTTTTTTCAAGATTGCACAGTTTATCTTTAGTTGTTATTGTTCTGGAGTTAAATTAGGTCTGAAAAACTGAAATCAAATGGTTAACGCCAATCTAGATGTTGTGTTTGACTTTTTTTATTTTGATTTTAATCCATTCATTTCTCTGCTAATTTAACTGTCTTCAAGATTTCTATTTCTGATGTTTAAACAGTACCTATTTAGAATAGCATAAGTTTTAAAATTTTATAATCCACGCAGTTCACTGTATACGTCAGAGAATACCGTGTGTTCAATTGATTCTTTACATGATTAATGTTGGTGAAGATTAACATTAGTAACATCAGTTTGGGCCTTGTTCATCTCAAAGATATAGAATGATGTCCTTACGCTTTCCATGGATCAATTCTGATATCAATCAGCTGATGTCAAATGATGGCGGCACCACTGCATTTACTTCGTTGTCATTATTTTATTTTCTCTCTCGAAAGCTTTTTATCCCTGGAAATTGGCAATGTTTTTTCTTTTTTTTTAAAGTGAAAAAATGCTTACAAAAATATAAGCAGATTTTGAAAAAAAATTAGATAACATTTTTAACAGCTCAAATTTGGTTATGTCCTTAAAATTTTGGGTTATTGTTCATTCATCATTTATTAATAGAAGTGCTAATGTCCTCTGACTGTGAATTCTCAATGAACTTTCAAGTCGGTCAAAATTATCATTGAAAGTCTTAATTACGAAAGTAAGTGCATATTTGCCATTCAAGCATACTTGCCATAATTATGGTTGGAGGAGAAGCAAAATAAAAGGAAAAAAACTCACTCGAAAATGAAAAAAAAGGCTTCAAAGGTTTATAGTTATTTCAGACTTGAAATTGAAATTTCAAATTCTCAATAACGAAGCACTAATTTTTGATTCATTTGACTTGTAGTTAAAGATGAACGGAGCATAGAAAAATGTGGTCAATTTTTGGAAGAAATGGTTTTTCATAAATCTGTAAATTATAAACGTTCGGTGGTAGCTGGACACATAGCAAGCTTCATTTTCATTCTTACTCTCATCTGATCTGATTGTTAAGACTCTTGCTAAAAAGATTCATCACTAAAGTGAAATTTTCCAAGGTGGTAATTTCATACCGTTACTCAGAATTAAACTGAGATCACCATCGATGATGTATTTATTGATAATGACAGAGAAGGTTTTCACTCAACTTTATCAGCTATCTATAGGATTCAGCTTAGCTAAAGGCACACTTTTCTGTTATCAATTTTGCATACAGCTTTTTTTCTTTTTCGCTAATTCCTTTTTCTCACGGAAATCGATAATTTCTCTCCGTTTTGCTAGCTATGGCATTTACAATAAAATGTTCCTCATTTTCAGGCCTAAAGCGATAGATAGATTAAGGCCTATGGTTATAACTTGGCAACAAAAAAGGAAGGATTATTCACAGCTTGGCTTTAGTTCAACTAAAGATACAGAGCAGACATTCTTCTATCATTAGTGAGACTATTCATTAAATCTATTTAATGACCGCTACTCCCCAGTGATGTCCATGCTATAATGCCTTCAGTTCTATTTTTGTTTTATCACGAGAAAGACACAATTGATTAATAACCTTTGATTATTAGCTGCGAAGAAGGTATGTCAAAATTAATGGCGGTCATATTTCTAAGGTTTTTCTTACTGACCTTCTCTTACTGAGCTTAACCATTTTCCAGAAGATTGTATAAATATGGATCGAGGAGCTGTATTATCTAAATATGAACGACCACCTCTGACCCTCACAACCTTTAGTGAGATTTAAGGAATGGATCTCTTTGATTATTCAATTTAGCGCATACAGAAGTAGACTTATTACTACGTAGGCGATTCTGTTGAAAAGAGATTTACAATGTGAGTTATAGAACCGCTCCACTTATTCCATCCGTTGATTAAATGTCCCAATTCGATTTGTCTGAGTAAATTTCCTGATTTGAATCAAACCATTTTCGAGCTCTATCTGGACATCAGACAGAAATCCTGCATGGTACCAAAGAGCTAGATCGAATAAATTATGGAAGTTTTATTGTATAATGCTAATGCAGTTTATTGATTTTATGTCGTGCATAGAATGTCGTCAGGACAAGTAATTGTTTTTCTTATTACCTCAGTTAAATATCATAGAACTAAATTTCATTTTTGGCTCATCTTAGTGGCAGTTGATTTTCTCCAAGTATTTTTTCTGCAGTGTTTGTTTTGCATACAGTTGAAATTAAATTGAAACTCGAAGGTTTTGTGGATATTTTTCTTCTTTCGTAACTTTTGCCTGATACTGACTAAAAATTTCACTTTGATATTACAGGTTGATAAAAAAAGTCGACCTCAGACAACGAACATTCACTATTTTCAATTTGATATTTAATTGAAAAGTTCCAATCAGGACTTATTGTTGTTCAATTAACTGACATTAATATTGCAACAGTTATCGTCTCACACTTTACGGTGGATAAAATGTTTCATGCTTGTATTGCTATACTCATATTAATCATGGTTATTTGTACCTGTACAATATTGGCTATAATTGACCTGGACAGTTATAACTTTGGCTTATACATTATATTGCTTTGCATTGTAGGTAATGATCACAGTTTCATAAAAATGCGAGGAATAATGTGAAACTTTAATAAAGTAAAAAACGAATAGAAAAGTAAGAAAGACTGCTTAGTTCGATTGATGAAAAATATAACTTTGACGGAAATACATAAATTTGAACTTTGTACTCTCTAATTTTAGAGAAAATTGAATTCAAATTATTGGCAGTCCATCTGTTTTAAATATAATCTTTACTCATTACTGCAGGAAAGGATTAGCAAAGTGAACAATTACAGTTCCATTTCCAGATAATTTTTCAGGTATAATGATTGCTTGCGCCTTTTGCGCTGCTAATCCGAATGAATGCAAAAACCCTTCTTGGTACGCCAGATTTTGTTTGCTACTTCAGGTCTGTCTGTCAATATCTTCAGCTGATTTAGAATTGCTAACTTTTATTTGATGATTAGAATATTTGTTAAGAAGCAGTGCATAGAATGGATTGTATTAAAATATGAAACAATGAAGACTCAATTTATACAGCTTAAGAATTCATAATTTATATTATTTCTCGCATTGAAAAATCTCCTTGCCTTTGACGGGAATTGTCGCTGAAAAAGGATTTGTAGGAATTACATCCTGAACATCTGTATCGCAGTTCTGCATCTTGTAATATAAATGATGCGGCGTTTTTAACAACCGGCTGTACAGCAGATAGTACTGCGCATCAATTCAGGTGGTATATGTTATATTTAAGCAATTAAAAAGATATGGAAGAAAAATAGGAAATCTTACCCATTTTATATCAATTAACAGCTTTAATACAAATGTAGATTTTGAATAGAGTTTGAAACAGGAATACTTTTTGCTTTGTTTCATTTGGTTTCAATTTTTGAGTGGTAAATAATTTGTTTATCTATTCAGAGAGAAATTAGTATCATTGACAGCAACAACTTTTTATAATTTAATTTTGTTTTAAGAATCTCTGTTTAGGAATGAAAACCGAGCAACAATTGCAATGTTAGCGCCGGCAGTTCATATCATGCATCATGTTTGGAAAGGTATGGCCTGGGTCACTGAAGACATTAGCGAAGAAGAAAAAGTTACAAACTGTCAAACGGTATGTCATACCAAGCCTTCTTTAAGAAAAAACAATAATTTTTGGAAAAAATAAAGTTCTGAGCAACTTCTAATTTAAAACTTCAAATAAATGAGAAATCGGAAACAATCGAGAGGATATTAATATTACAGAAGGTTTGTACAGTTCTATCCGTGATGCACCAAGCCTTTACAAGCTAGCCGAAAATCTGATGACGGAAGATGACACAATTTGCAGAATGCAAATGAAAAAGTCACCCACAGACTTCACATCCATGGAAATTAACTATTTCCTGAAGGGAAGAGTCAGTAACAGTCAAGGGAACAGTAGAATTATTATGAGTACATCATTCCCGGGGATATATCAGCAGGCGGAAAACTTCAACTACATATTGGTCCATTTCCCAATCAAGTGAATTACTAGTTTGCAATACAAGGACCTGAATAAAGGAATTAAGAATCAGAGGATCTCTTCCAGTTCATCCTGCCCATTTCTATATATGCAGTCCTGGAATGAGTATTCCTGCAAACCGTTAAGTAGATACGGTAGGAAATATAGAACAGTTCCCTATACCTCCCGCTTCTATTTCACGAAAATTTTTATCGAAACTTCCAGATACCGTTTTATGTAAAGTTGCAATCTTTCCAGCCATCAGTTTCGATACCACAGGATTCAGCTAGCGAATGGGATCCGAGAAATGACATAATTTTATGATGACTACTCCGACTTTCCGCTACTTTCAAATAATTGCTCAGTGGACTCATTTATGGCCAACCGAAAGCTGGAACTTGGAAAGTTAAAACTTTATATTAAATGAAGACCAGAAAAGCCTTGGATCCAACTATTTAATCTCATATTCTTGTAAAATAAGCTTGAAAGTGATACAAAGAAAACAGACATACAACTTTTAATTACACATTGAAAATTCACAAAACGAAGGGTGCGAAGTTACGAAATTCCTTCCCATAGGAAGAGCTGGAACTACGAAAGATGAAACTATTATGAATAAATTGTGAGCTATGTGACACAACAAGATTATCAAAAAGAATAATGAGATTATGGATGGAAAATTTAACACCAATCAAAGATAAAATTTCCAAATTCGAAAGGCCAATTTTATGAAAAAAAATTTTAACAATTAGCCATAGATTTAGCACTATTACCCAAATAAGGCGTTTACCATTTGGTTTAGAACGACTGTTATGGCAATAATCCAAGTACACGAATAGTTCGAACAATCGCATATGTAAGATAAATTGTCGAAATGCATGCTGCAACTGACTGCTCGAGACCATCGAAATATCAGTTCAGAGGTTCCTTCTCATTTCTTCCTGAAAAAACTTGAATTCAAAAAGTTTTGTTTACCTAAAAAACCAGAACAACCTTAAAGGTCTCAAGGAAGTAAATAAAAGACTGCTAGTCTTTAATTTTAGGGGACAAGATGATTATGCCAGACCTTGCAAGTATTTCTACGGTAACAATGATTGCAGCAAATTGAAAAGAATTAGCAAAACTTGTTGGAAATTTCACGAAGCAGCTGAATGCCCAAATAAAATATTTCTATACTGACAAATCAGCATAAACTTTCAAAAATTAAAAAACTGTTATTTTTAACTATATTTCCAGGTGCTTCAATACAGTGTAAGAATGGTGACAAATGGCTGAAAAACTTGAACGGATTTTGAATTATTCAAATCAAATTTCTTACTTCTTCATTGATTCCATATTCGGACATTGAGCAGGAAATGAAATTGCCGTTTGTCGTGAACGCAGTCGTGTTGCTATGCCATTCTGATTAAAAATTCAATGCAATATTACGTTAAAGTACTGATTTCTAAAAAAATTTCCTCAATATGGGCACCACCCTTAATTTGATAAAATACGATGACGTTATATCACATTATAATTGACTTGAACCGCTGTTAATCTTTTACAAGGCTTTTGAGGGAACTTTAAAATGCCCAAATCAAAATGAAGGGCGGATATAAATCGGATAACACTGTAAAATCGGAAAAGTGTGTTCTAAGATCGAAAAGATTCCAAATTCCAAAATTTATGAGAACCAACCGTATCGGACATTATTTTTGCTCGAGCCCTTTTACCTGACAACTTCGCATTCTGAGTACCGCCTAACTTTCTCATTTCACCACATTTGCCGCCATTTTCTGTATCTGCTTTCCGCACTTTCTTGGTTGCCACCACCTTAGCATCATTTTTTACCATATGCTTAACGTCACTATTTTTGCTTCCGGCTACGATTATTCGACGTCTGTTGACCGTGATGATTGGTGTTGAACTCGTAAATCCCGACTGACGAGTAGTGATATCATTCCTTATCTAAAAAATGCAAACTTTATATGAATTTCGGGGTTTTTTCCCATAAGTTCTTTATCGAAACGTCACGTTCCCGACTATGCTTCCTTTGAAAATCAAAGGCTCCCAAAATCTGAAGTACAGCAACAACATTACGCCAGTTCAAATTATATGAAATGGTGAACGACAGACGCAAACTGGACGAATTGGTGAATAATCGCAGTCTTCTAACGAGCCGCGAATATTTCGACCGTCCTCGTTATTAGAATTTGTTTTCGACGTTTCGGGTTTGTTTTCATTATTTAAGCTTTTTAGTGGAGTTGGTCGCTTCTCCATCTCTTTTCTGTCCTTCAACGATGTTTTCCAATGTGAGGAAGCCTGAAGCCGACAAACTAAAACAGCATAACCACAGCTACACTGTTAACAGGTTCCCAAGCCCAATGAATCCTTAAAATTTATAAGTTGAGGCCCAAAGTTGAAAAACAATTGTCAAGCATCAAGAACACGGTGAAAAAAAGGACCGCCTTTTCCAAAACCCAACTGCTACTTATTTGAAAATTTCGTGCCAAAACTGACCTCTTTTCATTCATTTTTTGTTTATCTTGAAATAATATTTATACCAAATCGTTTCCGTGAAAATGTTTCCTTGAATGAAGTTCAAGTTTTTTAAGCTGTTCATTAAAATCCGGGCTAAGTACCACTTAAAAAAAAAAAGAAGGATATATCAAAACTTTTACCTGCTGTTGTTTTTCTTCCTCAGTTACAAGTTTTGAACGTTTAACAACAACATCAATTTCATTATTGAAAGAAAGATTGATCGTCTGAGCCTTGTGATTTGAATTAGTTCGCTTTTTATGAACCGCTCTGAAAGTCGCATTATTTGAATGCTCCAAAAAAAGTGAATCAAGAGGCATCTCTGGTCTTCATTAATTTGAAGATCACATGGAACTGAAATTTGTCAACATACAGGTGATGAAATTTCAATTCGAAACTGCAAATGATACCTTTCACTGCCGACTTTCAGGATACTGGATACCCTCGTAGAATATCTTGGATTATTTGTCAAGGAATGTCGTACAAATGACTTAGTCGTTTTTTTCATCGTGTCAGTTTTCCTTGTATTTGCCTTGTTTGTTTTCATTTCTTTGACAAAGGATGCCGGCACGTATATTTTGGTATTAACCTTCAAAATTTATATGAGTTGAAACCTAATGAGATGAAGTTGTTAAACACCATTTTTCTGAAGAGAATGCATTAGATTTTTGTAGAATTCATTATAACTTCATTAATACATTTACTTCTAACCACAGCAAAAAAAATTTATCTTGCACAGTCCAAAGAATTCTATCTTTTTTTTCAGTATTTCAGATAACAAAACTCAATAATCGAAAAAGTAATCCAACTGATGTCCACATTATCTAAAAGTGTATGACGACAATTTGGAAACTTACTTTTCCCATGTTCAAAAAGAATCTTTTACTCAGCAAAGGTTTACTTTCCACATCTTTCATTAAATTCTTCACACGATAAGACATTAACAATATCCCAATATCACACAACGCCCATATTTTCTAAAAACAAGGAATGAAAAAGGAATATTTAGATACCTCGGCATTTTAATTTTGAAAACATGTTTAATGAACGCTGGAAATCTAAGACGCTGGAAATCTAAGACCAAAAATCGAAAAAGAGATTAAATTCTTAAAATTCTACTCGAAATCTATGAAGCATAATCACATGAACCTCATTTTTTTGTTGCAGCTCCTCCTTTGTACAGCCTTGTAACTTTGAATCGGTGCTGTTCTTTACTGCCTGCAAAATTAAATTTTTACTTGGAAGCTAAAAAATAATGTCCTGATGAAGTTGGTGATTTAAAAATGAAAACTGCTCAAATTTAATATCTTGTACTAATAATTTAAAAAAATACAAACCTTGAATATGTTGTAAATAAATTCCAAGCTACCTGGTTCTTTTCTCGCACTGAAAATTTCCAACAAAAACCAGATAGACCTGTAAATTGGAAAGCATATATGACATATTTATAAATCCACAAAACCTGATAAATTTTAAAGAAAAAAAAAACACTGAGAACCTAAATCTGTTAAAAAAATCAAACTCACTCTGTCAACCGCAGTAATTCGGGTTCACATTTTATCGACTCAAATGATGGAAGCTTTGCAAGTATGTAAATTGCGTATGCGAGACAATATTCAGGTTGGTAGTATGGTGCGAAGTCTAAAATTGCATTGTAAAATGGTGTATGAAATAATTCCATAGAAGTTTGACCCAAAATTTTTAAATTTTTCCAAGCTTCAAACTTTTTCTTTAGTATGTCAAAAGTAATAACAGCAAAAAGAAATCAATTTACCTTTCATCTCTGATCTTTCCAAGTATTTTCGCCTCTTTGTTATATTCGCATCTACCAAAACACGTATCTTATTTTGAAAATCAACATCTTCATATAACGTAACAAGTGCAAACAGCCCCATGTATTCAATGTGTAACTGAAGAGCCATCAAGTGTTTATTAAGCTTACCAAAAAATCGATGCCGCATTTCAGATTCTTCATCCTGAAAACTGTGGCAGTTCATTTTACGCTCAAGCCCGTACTCAACCGAAAAATGCTTACATCCATGTTAAAATCACAAAATATATAGAAACTTTGAAATTCCCCTGGAAATGACAAAGTCAAGTTTGTGAAATTGCAGCAAACTTGTCAGCAATAAATTTCTCTTTCCTTTTGAGCGACATATAATATTTCAGTTAGAGCATCTACAACTTACATAAGCAAGTGCCGAGAGAGTAATTAAATTATCGGCAGTAACAAATTTAGCGTATCGTGGTTTTGTTGCAAGTTTTAACATTGAATTTCCTGCCAATATGCGAAATTCAGCCATGTGAGCTCGGCTATAATGAATATGTAATCAATACTCAACTTTCGAAATCGAAATTGCTATAATAAATACTGGTGATACTTTTTTACCGTCTAAAATTATTGATATCAACAAAGATAACATTTCAGAATCAAGTTTTACGCTTCAAATTAATACATTCCAATTTAATCTCAATAGCTAAGTCAACGAACAAGTTTAAAAAATGATTTAACAGTATGCATCGCAAGCCTTATGAAAGACAACCATTTTGCATCTCACGAAACACTGCTTTGACACAGAATAGCATCTCATAACCAGCCATGTTTGTAATAGTGAAATAAAAAAAATCAAACTAACCTACATGGTTTTTCGAAGATATCTCCCTTCGTTTCCAACAAAGTGGAATAGAGTTTCAAAAGGTTTTTAGCCAGTGGTTCAACATCACACTCCGAAAACCGTGCTACGGACACCAAAAAATTCGCGACGAATTTCAAACAATGTTTCTCAAATACTTTTTGCTTGAGATTTTAGAAACAGTAGGATCCGCAATATTCTAGTTTCCGTTGCATAGTGAGAATTAAGATATCTTAATTAGAAAATGGAAGCGATACACATGAAATAGGACTTATTTTCAATGTAAGAAACTAGCCAACTTTAATCTCAACATAAATTTCATCGCAAACTGTTCCATCACCAAACTGCTCACTGCAGTTAAAAACACTGCTCTGTTGGTTAAAAATTATATTACCGCCACTTCGATCAAGCAATAAATCCATTACTTTCGTCTAAAAAAGTTTATATTTATATCCGTTAATTCATCCCGAATCTGATTTATAATTGCTGACTTGAAACAACTTGAAAAATGTGTGAAATGACAAACTTTGAGTATTTCAAGAAGCTCGTTGCAAAACTGCACAGCATCCACTTCTACGCAAGAGCTTAGTGCCTTAAGTGCTGTGCAGCACTGTGGATCAGATGCCGAAATATGCGATAAAGAATCCTAGAAACAAAGTAGTAATGATGCAGTAGTAAGTGGATAATTCTGGCTGCGATCTGACAAAATCAATTTCTCATAAGGCATCATCTGCATTCCGCACTAAGCAATAATACATCGTGGATAAAAATAGAAGATTTTTAAACAATAGTTAGCAGGAAACGAAATATCTGAATAAATTTTATTTTATTTTTACAATATACACTCTCCTCTGGCTGTCAACTTTGCCAAGTTTGGAGCTCACCTGAAATATACTTTCAAGCTTCGTTCGAGCTTGTTCAGTGTTCAATAACCTTGAAATACAGCGTACAGCATACTTTGCAGCACGCGGAGTGCCATTCAGACTGATGTATTCACAGTGCTTCACATATTTATCAACCATACCCTTAGCCAGGAGTTCATGCTGTTTGAGTTCACTAGAAATCGCAATCACTAGCCCGAGCAAACTTTCTGCTGAAAGGATTAAGAATTAAAATTTGTTACAAAGGATTTCGACTCTAATTAATGAGATTGGTCAAAGAGTTCCAAACTTAAAGCAAAACATGGTAGGTGTGTTTACAAAAAAATATATTCTTAACTTTTATCTTCATTGTCTTTTCCAATGTAATTTTCCCTCTATTTTATTTAATTTTAACTTAATCGCTTCTCGTTTTTAATTTTTCTATTTTATTACGACAAAACGTGTCGACAGAATGAATAACCACGTGAGAAATGCAGAAGCAAACCAGCGTAGTGAATGAAAGAAAGCTATTATAATCAATTATGACTAATATTATGACATACTACTTCCTCCATGGATCATTAGACTTTTTTAATTTGATTTTATGGTCTATTTTGACCAAAGTAGGCTATAAAATTCAGTAAATAATTTATCTCATCCACATCTCCCCTACTTATATTCATGAGTTTATTTTGCTCCCTTCGAGAATGTCAAAAACACAAACTTTCGGAAAAGCCTTCAATTTCGATCAGTTCCACTAGGCCTTCCAAAGCAGGTCCATTTACAAAACAATGTGGGTATGCATCTGCAACTATCTGCAAACAAAATAGCTTAGAATTAAGATTAATAGTGACTCAATTCCGAGAAGTTGTGAAAAAACAAGTACGAGAATAATAGTCTCCAGGATATAATCTAAACACTAAAATAAAAACATACGAAAATGACAAAAAAGTACCTTCAGAAGCTTAATTAATTTGTAGCAACGATTAAATTGATTACCATCGATACTCTCTTTAATTAATTTTATTACCATATCAACTAACAGCGATACCGCCGTCCCATCAAACTGAAGTGGTGAACAGCATTCAAACAAACATCTCACCGCATCCAAACATTCTACGGATACTTTATGGTCTCGTAAACGTTGTAAAATTTCCAGCTAAAATGAATGATTATACACTTAACAGAAGTTAGTTAAAAAGGAAAAACCATTTAACCAAGGCAGATAAGTTCATTCTCTTTCATTAACACAGTTAGCATAGTTTGCCTGATTATTATCATCGAGAATCCCCTTTGTAGTTCAAAACTTCGCTCGATAATTTTATCAGGTTACGTAAAAGACAACTTAAAATTACTCCTTCATCAAAACTTGTTCCAAAGCTATAAGAATTTTAGAAACCTGTGAAAACAAAATGAAAATCATATGAAAAATTTCATCAAGTTATCAAGCTCTGAAATATTTCATGGGCAAGGAATTTCAACCCATACTGTTCATCAAATACAAAAAAAAAAATTAGTAAGCGAAAATGAAAAAAAGATTGTATTCGACCTTTCTACAAAGATTCGCAACCAAGAATCTTCATAAAATTATAGAAACTTATCAAGTTTATGAAATTATGGAAAAAAATCATGAAATTATGGAACGACGAACTTGATTTAACTGAATAACTTACAACAGCTGACTCGACCTTTTGGCAAGTGTATTCTTTTCCCGTAATATACTTCAACAACAATAATATCTGTCTGTCATTCGTTAAGTGTACCATAAAATGCCTGCAAAACTGACACGAAACAAGGTAATCAAACATAACTTTTAAGTAATTTCCCATTTTATTAAGATAGCGAAAGGAGATTTCACATTCAAAGCAGTTACCTGAAAAGTAACGAAAACTTTGCTGGTTCAGGACTGCACTCAACAATACCTTTGATAACATCATCGATTGTCTTTCCCTTTTGCGGTTCAACATTCTGCTCAATCAATTTCACCAGATTTCGCAAAAGTCGTCGTTGGAATGACTGCTTCATCAAAACTTGTTCCAAAGCCCTAAGAATTTTAGGAGACTGTGAAAATAAAGTGAAAATCAAATGGAAACTTTTGTCAAATTATTCTCAAAAATATTCCTCCATTCTTATTATACAGACACAAGAACAAATTAAAGGAAAGAAACAAAAATAAAGTTAAAGAAAATAATGCCATTTTAACTAACTTCACACCATAGCTGTTCATATTCAGAAAAACATTAATCAATATTCCCATGCGCTTGTCTTCATCCAGTTTATATGGAATCAGATTAGAGACGAATATTTTCTCCGTTAATAACCTGAAATACCCTATTTCCCAACATATTGTAAGATATTGACACTATTTCCTTCAGAAAATACATTTGCCTCGCAGGTTCTTGGATCATATTTAAAATTTTTGATACATGCAATGAGGTTGTAAAACTCCACTCCGAAATTTACGCACTGAGATATTTTATATGTGGTCCAAATAAACAACTGGCCCAAAAAAAGGTACATAGATCGATACCTATCCTCTAAGAGTGGCTGGTAATAATGATTCATGATAGCAGAAAATATGCTAGATACGGAGGAACGTTCCAAATTCGTCAGTTCATCGTTACTAAAAATTGTACGATGAAGCTGGGAAAGTCCACGAATCACCGCATGCCGAACTCTAACCTGAACGAAAAAAATACCATCCTGAATAAGACATCGGATTTGAAATATTTTTCTAATAATTCTTGCTCCTAAGCATACAGATTTGATTGAATTTAATTATGATAAATAAACGACAAATGACAGCTGAAACCTATAAAATCAGATCAATTCAACAGTACATTTTGTACAAATACACCAAGTACATTTTGCAAGTACATTTTGACACTAAACAAATTCAGTTACAACTAAAACATGATAGTTGCAAATTAAAAACGTGCTTATTTCATAAAAGATGCAAAGCCCGTATATCTAAATGATATAATTCACAATACAACGGAAATTTTCTAATTTGACCTAGAGAATTTAATTCGCAAAATTGCTTCCTGCCTTTTTATCTCGAATTCGGTCGACGACATGCGTCAGAAGCCTTTCACTTAAAGCTTCAAATTTCCGTTTTACCAATCCTTGTACCATTGAAAGGACTTCCAAACGAACGTTCTCATCTAGATCTTGGCAACGTAAAATGACAGCATCTGAAATTCCTCAATTCTAGAATACCAGCTCTTGGCGAGATATTTATGGTGTGGCCAAAGCAAACTAGATAATAAATCAATCGATTTGCGTTCCAGCACTTGAAATAAATTATAAAGAGCAACAAAACTATAATGTAATCAAAGGAATAAGAAATGTCCTGAATCCAATTCTGCTTATTATTTTCAAAGGAGTAATATTCTACGAAACCTGTCACTTGTCCTCTCAATTCTGGGTGGAAAACGAGAATATCTTCAGCATTCCTGATACAAATACGACGGATTTCTTCATTTACATCAGCAAAACGTTTCATATATTCGCTCCAAACTTCAGGTTCATCTTCAGCCATACGCGAATCCCGATCACCAAAAAAGTTCCCAAATAAACGAACGGCTTCACGACGTACAGCAGCATCTTCACTCTACAAATTCGCGAAATATAATTTTGTGAGGAATCAAATGAGAAACTCATTAACCATCGAAGTCACAAAGACTATTCAAGAAGTTTACAATAGCAGCAGTTGGGCATTCCACATCACATCATTCATAAGCCATATAAATCCAACTGGCTCATAGTCATCAATAAAATTAAGTTTAAATTACATGCATCTGATTGACTAATATTGGAAGCACGGAGGAAATTATTTCTGGAGCGAATTTATGTAGCTCACAAATCAAATCACATAATTTCTTCTGAGAAATTAATTCGCATTCATCCAAAACGCCCGTTTCTAGTCCACGTTTTAACAGCTGAAATGTAAACACTCTCAAACACAGAAATAAAGTTTACGGATTGTATAGGTGGTTGCAAAACAACTTATTTTTGGGCTAATTTTTGTAAAATTCAACCAATTTTTCGGGAAGTATTTGAGCTTCTTTAGAAGAAATTTTAGCAGAAAACAAACTAAAGCAACATATGGTTCCAATGTTGTTTGATTTGTCCGAATCAAATCACGTGCCATAAGATAAGCTTCGCGATTATTTATCTGAAACCAACACATCAAAAAGACAAAATTAGTGCTTTTACCACCAAATATTATTTTTCAACCTTGAATGTTATGAAATCAAACCAAACCATTAGATGTCGCTGAAAACACCATCAAGTAAAAAACAAACTTTTTGAGGCTGCACGATGAAAAAAAAATTGCATCCAAAACGATATTTGAAATCTGATCAACTCCTTGGATCAGTTTAGAACACATTCCCATAAGCATTCCTTGGACATGTTCATCAGCATTTTTCTCGTTAACACTATTAAGAGATTGTTTGATTAACTGGCGCAGAATCACATAAGCATTATCATCCAATTCTAGAGCTATTTGCATTGTTTCTACTACCGAAATATTCTGAAAATTATTACTGCAACATTCAAAAAACAAACATTTTTTGAAGATGCCTCCGCTGTTTTCTCAAGCGTGAAATGTGTTTCATATTGTCAAACACGTATCCTCAAACGAGTATAAGAGTTGAAGAACGATTTGAACTAAGATTGCAAAAACTAACTTTTTACTAAGAAGATCGAACAAATAGCAGGTAAAAAGGATATTTCTCTCCTTATCTAGTTTTATCAAAATGCAAATGAATTTAAAAACATAACGATTGAAAATTTTAATAAAACTATAAAAAACATTGCCGAATCAGAACTGACCTCGAGAAGATATAAATAATATTGATACATCGAACTTCCTTTGTCTGGAATATTTCCAATCACTGTTGTTATGAATAGTAGCATATCCTGCAACAATTTTATTCATTTTTTTTAAACTGAGATTTTGATTTAAAGAAGTAATTTTGGACATAGGGTTTTAAAATAAATATACATATTCGCCATCATCTGCATTATACTCTGTTAATGACATATCAGTAAATTGATCTAAAATACATATAAACCATAATGCCAGTTCTCCACTCATTTGTTTTTCCGTAGACATACAAACCCAGCTTTTTTTAATCAATTCGCACTAAATTTAGCACTCTGCTGACTATCGTAATGCAAAAAAACAAGAGTTATTTTCTGCATTTAATTTCTCATCTCTTGCCATAATGTAAGTTCCCTTTTGCAAGTTTAAATTTTTCTTGAACAAAACTGCATTTTTACGCTAACCTTGAGCAAAGACAAATTTTCGGTTGGTAAGTTTGGTGCAAAAACCCGAAAAAGGTCAGCGATACAACACGCTAACAACAATTGTACATCACTGTTTTTGTTGCTCAAAAAGTGTGAATCAGTCAAATGAAGCATCAAATCCTTGTAACGATTCGGAATACCAGCTTCTTCATTTGTAATCTCACCTTTTAACACTTCAGACAAGACCTAAGACAAATAGAGAAAAACAAATTAAGGGCATTGAAATAGTTCCGAAAAGCATCAGCAGTCTTCGAAGTGCATATTCGACTCCTTTTAATGCATTGTTTCAGAATGTCGCCACGATGATTTTTTGGCTGTCATTGTAAATAAAAAAAAAAGTATTCGCAGTATTTCGAGAGACACAATATTTTGTCTTAAAATAAGAAAACCTAATCCATCGGTGGGACGACTGCTCAAATCACTTCCTCACTTATTCTTTCCTTCCTAGTTCCTCCACAACTATAGTATTTAAATGGAAGGAATTAACTGAAAGCAACCTTCAATCGCTTCAACAACTCTGTATTTTTAACATTCGCACTGATCGGTTTACATCCTTCAGGATACTTTATAGCATTTGAAGGCATACTTTATGATCTCTATTATCCTGAAAAAAATGATAAGACCCGTCAACTTATTCTCCAGCAATTCATAGAAAATGTTGTCTCTGGTATAATAATGAAGACATGGTTAATTAAAAAACAATTACATCTCGCTTTTGCAACTGGATGCAGTGATATCACAGAAATGAACAGTGTACAAGCGGACTGTTAATTAACAAATTATCAGGCCGGGGAAATATAACAATGAACAATATACTCTAGCAAACTGCTCTGCCATATAGCCTGCCCGAAATGTGTTTTTTTTGTTTCCTCTTAACCTATGTCAACAACTCAACCATTGCATACCAATCACCGAAACAGCACCCCGACAATAAAACCCAGGCGACACTTTCGGCGATACTTTCGCAGAAACCTCACAAATTCGCGCGCAAATACTCCCGAGAAGCTCGATATGCAAATTTTACGTCCTAACGGGTTGCTTAAGAAAATGAAGCATTAGAAGTGGAAGTAAAAAGTGAGAATGGGTAATTCGAAATGGAAAGTGAACTGTCATTGTTGGAAATGACTAGATTTGATAAGTTCATCTTTTAAAGTTTAAATTTAAATTTCAGAACTCTTTTCTTTGGCTTGAGTCTTTTTTTGTTTTTTAAATTTGAGTTTTTTCGGACTTTAATTGTTTGACTGTGCTGAAATCGTTGGACTATTCAACTTCTTGTCGTGCTATTTTCAGCATTCCACCTACATTCAATGTCAGGTCCATTTAGAATAAACTTCCTGGACGATGCGTAGAGGGTGACATGAAGTCAGGCTATCCATGAGGATGTGAACTTTCGATCAAGGACAAAAAATTCCGGAGTTCCAAGAATCTAATTAGATATTTGATAGGATTATGCGCATACACAAGCAAATGGAAGGTGAAACAGTTTTATTAGTTAATAGTCATTAAATAAACGTTTGTGGGACACTTTCAAATTGATGCAAATAATTGTTTACAACAGTTCAAATGAAAGAAATGACGAATAAAGTAAAGTGTTGGTTAATTAGTTTGTGAAATTCACTGCTGTATATTTGATTTCCATTCCTTTCCCTTTTAAAGTAACAAAGAGAAAAAGGACAATACTCCTTTTTTGCATTATAGAAAGACAAATGAAAGACTCAAACAGTTGTAATCTGATATCCTTCAAATTTGAAGTTTGTTATATTAATCTAGAAGAACAGTGCTTCCCATTTGACCCCAAGTTCTGGCTCGTTAACTAAAACCTTCACTTACTTTGAAGACATTATGTCTGTTATTTTGTGTGCAAATCATTTCTGTATTTATACTTGGCATTAACATCTACGAAAGATATGCACTTTCTGTGTGCTAAGACAAACTTGAAAATTAGTGTAAATTAAGAGGAGATCTTATGTTTGAGGTTAAATTTGAAGTTTTTAGGTTAGGGGATTTGAAACTGCAATTTTAACTTGAAACTCGATCTGAAATTTTACCAAAAATTCTCTTACTGAACATACAGATGTCAATTCGGAAAGCCCATGAGAAAATCACCTGCCATAGCTCACCGTTAGCTATACCCATTAAAATTTCCCAATACTCGTGGTGGCTTAAACTGAGTAAGTCGCAAGAATGATTCCTTATAATTCGACAAATCGCCAACATCAAAACAAATTCGACTATTGGACCCCAGAAAGACTGAAAATTAGAGACAGATATCAGAATCATATATTCGTTTCCAAGAAATTGCAAAAATTTAACTCAATTCAAATGTTCAAACTTCCCAGCAAAATCTCATCAGAATGCTCAGAAATCGAATCACAAATCTTGGTTGGATTCTCTCGCATTCAGAATAGCGTTATTTTGAAGATCCTTGTAGTATCCCGCGACTTGATATAGTCACGAGATAAAACTATGCCAAGTTCATCTATATTTGGATTCCTCAAACCGAGCTACCCCGCAGAATACAGTCAAACAAATATCAAAAAGCGTTGAAATTTTATGGTACAAGATAAGGATGTAATGTAGTTTGTTTACTTTTCTCACACATATAGCATTAAAGTAAAGAACCTGATGCTGAGTTATTATTTCCCATTAGTGTACTTAATTCTGTTGGTTTTTCAGCTCGTATAGTTTCCTTATTCCTTTGCCTTTTTGAATTCTTGCGTTTCATTCTACGCCGATAACAACCCGATACTGCGCAAGCGATCAGTAACATTATTAGGCCTCCCAGAAGACTTAAAAGTAGGCAAAGTAAGGCCTTCTCTTTATTATCTGAAATAAAGTTTTCCAGATTAGGATCATCAGGTGAAGTTGAAAATTTTGAATAGAAAATTACAATGATGCCTTGGATCAGATAGACTTTAGCGAAACTATAAAAAAGCCTTTCGAGGGTACCGTAATTTTTTTTTCGAGGGTACCGTGATTCAAGTGCTTAATAATTCAAGTATCAATCAGTGGATAAATATGAGTACGTTAAGCCGCTTCTAATTTTAGAAGTAAGACTAACTTAACCTTTCAGTGTTCGCGTTATCAGCATAATGTCATGTACAAAGTTAAAAGCATTGAAATGAAGACCGCTTGGCGATGTAGTATCGATTGAAGTTGCTATGACAAATGCGCCTTTCTCTTCAGACTCCTCGTAACTGTTTGCCAACAACGAATTTTTGATAACATTTACTAAAATTTTCAAAAAAAAATTTACAAACATTCATGTTGAAATGTGAAAACCTTTCAGACTGCAAGTTTACAACAAAATATAATTGGAAGAATTCGTAGGGAAATGGACAGATTCTCACTATTTCTATTCTGTCCAGAAGAAGCCTTTTGAACAGCTTTGTATCCATGACTAGGATCATCTTTAATACGAAATGCGCGTTCATCTTCCTTTACAAACATCGTCTCCACTTTCTGTAGTTTTCTTGGTGGCAGGTCCTACAATACCTTTATTTTCTAGCATGAACAAATTCGGGAAACTGGCTACTTTCTATTACCTGGACACTGTACTTTCAAACTATTTCAACGATTTATCATAGGAGACATCGAAAACTTTTTCAGTGCACCCAAATTCTAGAAAAAAAAAAAAAAACAATGTGGAAGGAGAAAGATAAATAACACTAATATAACCGAAATGATTTTCTTCATCGTTTTCAATTTGCCTTTTATAGCTGCTTCACTGAAGATCTCATCATTCACTGCAAAACAGCAATTATTCCAATTGGTTTAGACAGACAACCACTGTTAAATTGAATACAAAATATACCTTTTTCATTGATTATCAGAGTTGAAAACGGAAATTATTGAAGCATAGAAAAATGCTCATAAATGATATCAAAAAGTGAAAAATTGGCAAACAAATAAGTCAAATTGCTAAAATCTCGATTGTTTGCGGAATATGAATTAACGGACACTTTTGTAGTTGGTAGAGATCATCCTTGACCTCTGCACTTCCAACATCAAAAATTTGGTTCTTTTAAAGTTTCGATAAAATTTAAGTTTTAAAAACGAACTGCACATGAAGATAAGACTGAGGTATTTCCGTATCTCTGGTGCGCATCCAGCTTTATCGAATTGTTCATCATTCACCATTACCGTGCACTTTGTTTGTGCATGACAGTCATAGAGTACCTGACCCAATACATCTATCACACAATCTGTAGTAACAGGGAATTTTTGACAAAAATCAAGCATAAATTTCAACTGAAGAAAATTTCAAACAAGTCGTAAATGAGGATCCCCAAAATCACTGGGATAAATAAGTCTGTGAAGTCAAGTTTTCTAATTTGATAGTGACATTTGAGCAGATGAGCTAGAGGAATAAGTTATACTTTCCTTAAGTAAGATTAAGTGAAGCTAATTTAAATGTGGAGGGAAAGAAAAGGAATTTGCACTTCAGGATAGCTTATTCGAATAGAACAAGTGAAATGCTGTGACAATTATAAACTTGTCATCACTAACAGTTGTTATCAGTTGAATTTAATTCAGTGCAATCCTCTTGCTAAGCAGTAAATCATTCATGCTAAAAAAAACCATAAAATAAATGTTAAAGATAAATTTAGATTAAATTTTACATTTCTCTCACAAGGACATTTCTTTCTTGGTAAATGTTTTAAGAATCAAAGATCGAATAAGAAGCCTAGTTCATTATTATTTAGCTATAAGGCTAAAAGTCAACTGATAATTAGTTACGCATTTGAAAAATATGCTCGCTTATTTAATCGTTTCTCTATTACTAATTATATGGTAAATCATATATCAGAGATCTTCATTAATTAGAAAGCTTCAAGCAATGGTATCAGAGTCAAATTTAAAATTAAAAACAAAATCGAATGTGAGCAATGATTTTCACGGATTCATCTCTCAGATTTTATAAGATATCATTATAACTAGGAAGATCTTTGTAAATACATTTTGAAATGACAAGAATTTTCTGTGTTCCAAATTCTCCGAGATATCCCTTTTATTCCATACAAAAAAAATTATTATTGGTATTATCTTAGCAGCGTTTAGTATCATTGTTGATAGCACCTTGAAGAACAAATATGTTCAACAAATTACAAAAAGGAAGTTCAAGACCCACTCAAACTGTTAACTTGACTGAAATTGGTAGCTAATATTTCAACTTCTTTTTAAAGTGGTCTTCGAAAATTGATCAAGTGATGGAATCGAGGATTGCATTCATGAACTTTGGAAGAAACTTATGCATTTCACGTATATCTTTCAATCCATACTGTGATTCACGTCGACTGAATTTTAGAAGTAATACAAAACGAATGAGTTGTAATAGTCTAAAGCGTATATATAATGTACCTTGGCTAATCGGAGTATTTGGTGTACAATGCATCATTCGTCCCTCAACTGTTCGGCCATAATGAGCCGAATAAATAACCAATCTTTTATTTTGCTTGCAGCTCAGATGCATTGTTGATCCTTCGCAAAATGATTCTTCGTCGAATGATACTTGAAATTATTTAATTTTTATAAAGCTACACCAAAAAGAATAGTAGTACTGAAAACGGGCAACTTATGGGTGGGTAAGGGGTATATGTTCTCGATGAAGTATCTACATTGCAGCAAAGAGTCTGAACTTTCAACTCTTTCTTTAAATCCATATTATTTTACAGTTGCTACAATTAATTTGTTTTAAATTAAATTTATATTCAATAAGTTAGTTGTTAGCTGCAAATAAATATAATCAATAAATTCGAAATCTTTAAGGGCTTAAAACAAGTCCTTCAAATTAAAGCCGTTGAAGTTGCTCACCTGGTTTACATTTATAGGACATCTGAAGATATTTGGAAGTATCTGGACATGGATCAGCACCAAAAAATGATGGCCTCACCGTTATCTTACATTTTCTTTTGTTACGACATTGTTCCAGAATTTTCTAGGAATTAAAAGTAGTTGAAAATTTCAAATATTTCCTATCTTACTGAAAGCATTACTGCTTAAATCAATAAGCGAATCAATCATTTTTCACAACAAACATTTCATTTTCCCCTTTCATCGCATTACTAATCTATTAATAATGGTCGTTGCTAATGAATCCTACTTCACACCAAACTGATCATTTCCGTAATCTTAGAAGAAAAATCTCACCCGAGGTCAATGCCAACTGTTTATCTCTCCTAAAATTTAGGACAGATTATGCGAGATGCCATCCTTTCTTTGTCCATTCACACCATTTTTTTTTATGATAAACAAACTTTTTTTGAACACACAGCTCTGATAGGACGAAAATTTACTATCCAAAGTATGTCATCTCCTTTAATAGAAACCGTGGTCATATAAAATTTGCTGCGAAACTCATTTCATTTTATTTTCAAAACTTTTAAATGAAAAGTTAAAAACTGAGAGAGTCTGTCGCAAAAGAGGCATATTTGAATTATTACGACTTACAACTAATTTGCATTTATCTTTGAAATTTCAAAAGTGAAAAGTCTTTTGGTTTTTCATCTAAAAAACTTTTAATAAATGCAGCAAAACTGATAAAACGTTGAAATTTATGATCTTGGAAACCAAAGCAAATTTTTGATGATAAAAGGCCTTAGAATAGCAAGCCTTCCAACCTTCTCATAAATTTCGTAAACTCAACTCGAACATTGTCCTTTCTTTACTTTGAGACTGATTCAAATCATTTCGAATATAAATCTTATTTATGCATTACGCATATAATTTAGTAATTTCATTCATTTGCATATGGAACAATTGCTTGCAGAGGGACAAAAGACCGAATTTCTTAAGAGATTAGGCCCATTGGGTATTGTTCAATAAATTAATTAATTCGTAGAAATCATTGACAGAACATTGGTGAACTTGGCTCATGGCAACGAGCACTATAGAGCATTATAAAACCTTCTCTTTAATTTTTAAAAAAAGATTATGGAGGAATTATGAGCCAGATATTTCGGACAGAATTTTCGCGCAAACCATGGCTATGCCAAGGTGGGGGGGGGGGGGGGATCTCTTTTGAGAAAAACTTGATGATAAACATAGTGATGATTGAAATATCCTCCCTGAAGATTTTAATCGTGGTTAAAAAGATGACCATAATCTGAAGCAAAAGAACTTTATTTGGGGCAAACCGCATTAATCTTATTTCTTAAATTTTATAGTGCCCTCTACGCCCGTTGTGATAGAGGCCTTTTTAAAAAGTGATCATAATAAGATTTCAAATGGTTTTTTTTAATTTTTGAGGGTTGTCAAAAATCAAAGTTGAACAGGAAATTAAATTCAAAGATTTTCTCTATCTTTCGACTCGCTTCTTAAAAAATTCAAATAAATTTTTACGATCCAATAAAAATGTCATCTCTGGTAACTATAATGTAATTTTAATAAGACATATGTTAAAATGCTGCGGTCAGAAAAAAAAGTAAACAAAACCTTCAAATTGAACAAATCGATTGAAATATTTTCAAGATTAATTAATATTTATTACTTTTTTTCACTTGTCTCTGAAACACTTTTAATCAGACTAAGTGAGAAATGTCACTACAGTGTCAACTCAACTGTAAACAATTATTAAACTTTAGTCGGATAAATTCAAATATCGCTTTAATTCGCTGATTTTTATTTCGCTCGTTAGTTTAAACTTTTTAAATTTCCAGTTTTCCTTTTAAAAATTTTGCCAGTAAAAAAAAAAATACAATTTTTACGATTATTTTCAAATTGTTGCTTATCTCTTTCCTATCATTATAAAGCAATTGTTCAGGATGAAATAAATGTCCGTATGCTAATTAATCATATGGACAGATGGAGGGACAAACACAACAAATAGTCTTATTGTTTTTCTCCCCAATTAAAACAATGATGAACAGCCTTATGTGTCACCTCGTCCAAGTAAATGATATTAATGACTGGGACGTAATGATCTTTCAACAGCAACAATTATTTCCTTTGCAAAATTCATTTCATTCCAGCACCAAAGATTTTAGTTGTTGTTGAGAAGGAACAAAGGGTTAAAAATCATATTCAGTAAATATTTAACCAAGCAAGACAATGACCTCAATCCTACGAACCTTCTGAAAGCCTCCAATATTTTGGTTCTTATTCATTGCCTAATGACCATAAAAATCTTTTATACAGAGGAGAAAAAAAGCTAATAAGTTTTCAACTTACCACATGAGCCTGTATTACTTCGCAGCTGATATTTTCACTGGACGGAAATTGATGCTTTGAATGTAGCGAGGGGCAAAGTTGATCGTTTGGTACCAAACGACCGTAAAATATATTTTCAAGCAAAATTTGAGTATTTTTTGGGCAGTGTAAAATAATTTGTTCATCATCACATGCTTGCACCAAATTGCTCCTCAGGCTTTCCATCATAAGGGCTGCAATTTGGAAGTAAATCAAATGATTAATTAAAATACTATACTAAATAGTTAAGGGCTGTGTTTTCAAACTGGAAGTACTTTTGGAAAAGATAAACTTTCTAAAAATGATTCTGCCGGGTGCTAAAATTATTTTAGATTATTAGCTAATCTATTCCTCTATGCAAGATAATGAAAGGGCTTGGCACGCAAATGCATTCCAGTTTGAAATTTGATATGAAATATAAGGGAGCATGATGAATTAGTTCACATAAAACTTCTTGATGAATTACATCCCATTTCATTTCGTAAGATGAGAAGACAAAGTTACAAATCTCACTAGATTAGATATTTGTATGATGATGCTAAATATATGAATGATTGTTTATTTATTTATGATATTAATACTATGATACATCGGAGAATTCTATCTTATTTACATTGTACTGATTCATATTATTTAAACAACTTTTTAATTGATGCAACAAATTTGTTGGAATTGATCAGATGAATTTAACACTTTCTAAAATTATTTCACTGCAAAGATTTCACATTTGATAAAGTAACGATGTGAACAGAAAAAAGTTTCCATTACAATAACAGTTGATTTTTTCATTCTCAGAATTCCCTTCCAACGCGAACAACATTATTTTTCAAATTGGTAGAATTTATTGGATTATGAAACTTAAACCTAATGAATATTACAAATAAGAAATATGAAATAAATTAATTAGGATGATGAATGGATAATTATGGTATAAACAAAAAAATTCCTTTGTTGAGTGCCCTCCCTTTACGTGTAAAAACAACTATCCGGCTGGCCTGAGTACAAGTACGGAAAGGTTAAGTGAAAATTCGGTGAGTTTGGAATCCTTACCATACGGGAGGTAGATAAAGGCCCCATTTTAAGCTATGCGGTTCGACTTGGAGATTATCATCTGAGTCGAACTGTAGAATCTCTTTGAAATCTTAGAAGTGTTTGGAAATCCTTTATCGTCAAAATCAATTTTTATAGCAATGGCAGGATCAAATATCTTGTGATTTTTCGTCATAACCATAAAACAACATCTGCGTGGATTACAATTCCTGTTTAGTTCTCCGGATCGATAGGATTTCACTTGGCTTTCGATTCATATTTTCCAGAAAATTATCTTTTGCACAAATAATGAACAAATGGATGAAAAGCAAGAATGTTGCTAGTTTTAAGGAAGAAAGCTAGAAAGAGTTGGAAATTTTATTTCATTTTTGAGAAAGACATCAATTTAATGAAACAATTCATTTAGCTTTTTTCCCAGAAAAAACCCTTCCCTTATCCATTTGGAAGAAATTGCAATGTTTATCCTTGGACTATTTCATTCCATTTCATTGATAGTTACACTTCTTTTTTTTTTTCATCAGGCTAAGATTAAACATTGCTTGATGTTTTAAGAGAATATGTCCCATAACTTTGGCAATATAAGGGATTTCTAAATGCCAAGCATAACTTTTCTTCATTACACTTCATCTTACTCTGCTCCATTCTACTCTACTTTACTCTATCTTTAAAACTCTATTTCGTTGGAAGTAAGCACACAATTTAAGCAGCGCAAAAAACAGCAGCTTACAAACATTCTGCGCGCTTTTCACAAGCCTGAACTGTGTTTCACATATCTTTTGTCAATTTAAGTTTAATCATCATCAAAACAGCTTTTTTGATAAAAACAAGATTTTAAAGAAATTTTTGCAGTCAAGAGGGTTATTCGAGTTCTTGAAGTATTTTTCAGTACATTCTTGCGATATTCTCGATCTCATTAAAATGTAAATGCATGTCGAATATAACTGTTATTTTGTTCTTGTCATTTATTCTGTCCTTAAGGTGTCCATTGTTATCAATAGATAAAGCTACAAAAAAAAGAAATCAATCAAAAACTAAACAAACCGTTGATAACATCAGGATTTGCATGACTGGATGTTGCTAGCGCCATCATTGTTGCAGTTGCTGTCGCTGTGGTATTAAACCAGCCAAAGGATTTCATTGTTACAACCAAAAGCACAATAAACATGAATATTTGAGGCCAGGATTTGAACTTTCTGCTTTTGCAAATTTCCAAAAAGAACTAAAATTTTCGAACATCTTCATTTTTCATGACAATTGCATAAAGTTTTCAGATACATTTTTGGTCATAACTAAAGTTTTTAGTTTCATAATAATCGAAAATTAATTGTGAAGGATAGAACAGTAAATGTTTAAATAAGGAAACGAGAGATAAGGGATAACAGATATGGATAAGAGAAATATGAGGATAGCAACAGCTGTTCAGAAGTATTTCCTATCTCAATTGTAGTTCAATTGTAGACATCTCCTCTGATGAAATCATAACGCGAAAATATTCGACGAAAAAATATCTGCCGAAATTCAATTGGGATAAAAACAACAGTTTTAAAAGATGAAAAGTATATAAAAACAAAGGTAGCATTGGTATTTAATGAATGGAAATGATAAAGATGAATCAGTCTGGTAGTTCGTTTAAATATCTTTAAAAAATTCGTCATCATTTTATTGCTCTATTAATTACTAAACTAATGATCAAAGTTCATGTTGATCGTAATGGTGATAATGTACGATAACTGTGAAGTGTAATAATCTTATTAACAATTTCAGTAAACACAGTGGCTTTCTAAACGAGATCATTGAAGCATCTGTCATAAATCAATTCGAGGTTTTCTTTGTAAAAACCGTTCCAAGTGGACTAGAAATAAGAGAAGGTGGAAAAAATACAGACAAACAGAAGTGATCAGCTAAATCCGTTAGCATAGAATTCGAAATTTCGATCCCTTCCCAATATCGAAATCAACAATGGGCGGGGCACAATTATGGTTATATACTGATTGGAAGGAGTGTAAAGCGAATGGAATTCTGAAAACAAGCCAATAGTAATCGGCCAGAAGAGTCAATTGATATTATATCAGTAGTATTTGTGAGCTCTATTCAATCGTTATTCACGTTTGTTAAAAAAAAAAATAAATTAAAGAGCTTTTAGGAAGTCCCCAATAATAGTTCTACTATTATCAAAACTTTTTCACTTTCATCTTGATGATTAATTCACCAACAAATATTCAAATAGTTTAGAAGCAAACTATTAGCTCCTATGACGAGGTACATTTTTTGGTCAAACTACTTTTCCCTATCAAAAGACTTAATTAAGATATCCATAACGTTTCGTATTGTAAGGAATGAATCATTTGTTTCATTTTAATTTGTTGAATTCTCGTGAATGAATAGGACTTATCAAAATTCTCCAAAAAAAACAGTCTTGGGGAAGATTAGATCTGGCCAAATATGTTGCATGTTATAATAAATTCAAAGTGCTTGGTTTACTCATTCAAATGAATTTGTAATTTCACTGACCACTTTCTTCCTATACTTCATCTTTATGTTAACTGTTCTACAAAAAAAGGGAATTAAAAAGATAAGAAAAAATTTTTCAAAATTTCTTTAACTCGTGATAACTTTTCGACTAAAATTCTAATACGCATACGTATAGATTTGATAGACAGATAGGTATCTGTATAATGTATGAGAAATGAGACGAAGATTTATTCCTGTCAATCCTTTCCTTCCTAAAATTGAAATTAATAAAATAACCATGCACACATTGACTTAAATTTCGTTACTAATGGTTACAAAATGACCGTCAACATTATCACCATTCTTTTATTGCAGTAATTTGGTCAACCGTGATGTGTCATCATGATGTTCGTTCCTTTCAGTTCACTAATGTACTGTTGTGGTGATTGTCATAAAATTTTTCCTGTTTTTGTTTTATTTTAATCACTTACATATTAAATTTTCACTCTTTTTATTTAAACTGTCACCATTTAAGATACTTCACTTTTGCCAAATTTGAATTCAAAGAATTTGAAATAAAATTAAAATATACACTGTCATTTAATAAGTCGCATTGCGCTCAGTTATAAAATGAGAAAAGAGCTTTCTCCCAAAGGTCAAGCATCTTAAAAATAAATTTTAATGTGCCACATATTCGAACCTATATACAAGCCTTAATGGCATTTCATGGCAGTTCTTACTTAAATATTTCAAATTCCGGAAAAATATTTCCCAATGCAAAATTTGTCATTTGTTTACATGAAGGCATTATAAAGTAAATTTTCTCGTTCATTTAAAAATCTTTAAAACGCAGTAAGACATATATAGTTGTTATTTATGAGGTAGATTCTAAAATTTAAAAATTAGAATTACCATATGTTGACAGTTTAGCTTGTCAACTAGATTAAAAGAAAACTCCATGTTCTGAAGGAATTTCGATTGTGCTATTATGAATGATTCATTAGCGAGAAATTAAACTTGAGCTTATGGAGTCAACAAAATCTGATCTAAGATATTAAACAAGCTCTTTTGTGCAGCTGACCACAGATAGCCAAAATTCCTCTCTATAACATCCTAATCTTACCCACTGGTCATGTGAGCATGAAACAAATTAAACGATAAGATGCTAATAGCTGAGTAAATAAAATTCGAGAAACATAGATTTATTTCGAAGTGCATCCGGAAAGTGTAGGGAAAGACTAATATAAGGAAGAAGCATTTTACTATCAACAAAAGCTTCTTTTATTCTCTTCAACTAGCAAATGAGACTTTAAATGAAGAAGCTTTCTTCGACGTCACATCTATCCGATCCACTCATTGATAGTAGTCAATGGATTATTCATACAGGAGCCTCAGGATTCATGGAGAGGACAGAGAGGTATAAGAGCAATTCTACATCTACCTATTCAGTGAAGCGCAACAAATTGGGGAGAGACAAAAAGGAGTAAAGCAATCAGCTATGCTGACATATTCATACATCTTGATATTTCATTGGGTCATTCACTATGGCCTAGAGCAAAAAACTATATGAACTCTTAAGGCTTGTTTTAGTAATTACCAAGGATTTTTATTCATTATTTTGGATTTGAGGCCTCAAAAATGTGCCTTTTGGAGACCTAACATGACCTTTGAAGAGTGCTTCATCAATTAAAGAAGTGGAAGTCCCTACCCAATTATTGTCATTTAAGAAAATCAAAAATTACAAGGCTCTCTTTAAAGTCTAACGATAGTTTTGCTATTTTTAATTTTCTATAAGTGGAGTTTCATCAGTTAGTAGAAGTCATTCAATTATGAATGTAATTTGAAAAATGTGACTCATTCCACTTCAAATTTTAAACTCCGTTTGCACAAATGTCAACTGATAGCACCGTAGCAAGCGAAAAGATTTTCAGAAAACTTTTAGTCGTGGAAAGTTTCGAATTTATTTCTAAAAGTTAGGTTGTTTCCGAAGTGTAATAGATAAATTTCGATAGTACCAGAAAGTTTGCTTTCTAATGGAAGTTTTCTAAATTTGAGATTGCTATTTTTCCTTCTATGATCATTGCACTTCTGTCTTAGCTTCTTATATTGCTAGTATTACTGATCGCAATTTAAATCTCTTCTTCTACTTTTTTGAGGGCCGAAGTTTTTTTTGTCAGACTACTAAATTTAAAAGTTTACGGAAAAGTGAATGAAGTTGCCAAATCTCTTGCCTCTTGTGATCATAAAAATGAATTTAGATCATGGATTTGCAGTGTGCCATCAGTCCTTTATAGCTTAAAAAAAAAGCAAGAGAAGAACCCAAGTTTTTCCTGGAGCTTTTTTGAATAGTTATGAGCTTTTTTTTTTACAACTGACACTAAAAAAAAAAAAAGAAAGCAACGGTAACCATAAATTTTGATTTAAATTGGTACTTTTCCATTAAATAACAAATTATTCTTATTTCAGCAATTCAATAAAATGAAGTCAATAGGAAAAGGAATTCTTGACCAGAGTCATTTCAAAAGTCTCGAACTCTTTTACAATTGCAAACTTTCGAAGACCTTTAGATTCTTTAAGAATTTTAAAAACAATTTCCAAACAGGCACTTTCTGTTCCAAAAATTTACCTCACAGTTTTTTTTTTAACCATTAATCGTTCAAACAGTTATCAATTCAAAAATTTTGGTCTATTTAATAAGTTATCAAAAACATGAAACTAAGAATTTATAATTTTAAATTGCTTTTCTTTCCAGTTTTTTTCTCGACTGGAGGAATTTGATTATAGTTATTTCTCAAGAAAAAAATAAAATTTCAGAAATGTATTCATGAACTGCAAATGATTAAAAGCAACAGCTTTAGTAAAGTAGAATGTCATGGAATAGATGAAGTAAACTAAAGTGAATTAAAATTCGTACTCATCCTTAAAGTTAAAATGGCGGAGGATGAAATGGGACGGAAGAGAAAAGGCGAAAGTGTGCAAATGAATAATATAAAAGGAGATTCCTTCAATTGCTGCAACTCTGAAAGCGATTATGAGGAAAAGTTTTATACAAGGCGAAATTGAATTTCAACAACTTTATTCAATTGTAAATTTTAGACACGTCAACATCAGCTTGAAAAGATGCCTGCAGGCTTGAGGTGTATCGATGATTGTGTGTACTTCCAGCATAATACTGAAGCTGGTCGCTATTTATCGAAACTTGGGAAATTAACTGTTTTTCATCGATTAAACACTGAAATAGATGGACGGTTCTGGTGAAAATAATGGATGGTGACATAAAAGCTGGACAGTAAGCATTTATGCAAATGAGCCTTTCACGCCACGTTTGTGGGGAGAAACACGTGATAATATGAAATGAAAACCTTAAAATTAAAAGGAATGAATTGACTATAAAACTTTACTGACTCTCAGCGGTTTTTGCTGGTATTATTAACGAAATGAAAAAAGAAAATAATACAATCTGTACAATTTTTTTTTTTTCAATACAGTCTGTCCAAACCGTTTCTATGGACTCAAAAAAAAAAGCCTTAAATAGCCTACTACCGTGCAAGAAAATTTGTAACAGGACTGCATACTATACAAAGTTTTACTATGTGTTATTAAACGATAACTGATATCTATTGTGATAAGGCGGATCAAAAAAACATAGAAAAGGAAGTAAGCTTAAAATAAGACACTATTGTATCTAAACTTAAATCCAAATTCGAACTAAAAGACTCAAATTCGAACTGTATTGTTAAAATTTGAATGAAATAATAGGAAATACAAAGGTTGTTTTGGCAGATACTAAGAGGTTGGATGATAACCTGTTGACAGCATTAGAAGGGATAAAATCAAATTTAATTCCAACTAATTTTAGAATTTAAAATGCAAAAAAAATCCATTCCTTAAAAAAAAAAAAAATACCATTCCTGCAAAAAAAATCCATTTCCATAAGCGGAAAAAAAGAAATTGAAAATATTGCAAAATGCTGCACAATGAATAGCTAAAAATCAAAACTTATTTTCCGTTAAGGATTCAATTGTCAAGACTGATTTTTTTTTTGTCTTGGAAATTCAGAATTCAGTTTCTTTCATAAATGATTTCCTTCCAATCGATATTTCGATACTACTTCATGGTTTAATTCAGGAATGAAGTACGTCTCGCTGATAGTTAAAGCCTGCTGGGCAGCTCAATTTATTCATATCACCTTAACACTCATCCCATGACCAATCCACACTCTTTGACGGTCATTCGATAACACTTACCTGACATCCTATACAAACATTTTCCCATCTGCTTCGATTCTAATTCGAAGTTCGCCATATTTGTTATCCTTCAAGCTCATTTAAAATTATATATTCTCTTTTATTTATTATGGATAATTTTGAATTAGTATCAAAATTGCATATTCTCTTGTTGATCTTTTTCCTGTGATAAATTATATCGTAATTGTTCATTACATCAGAATTTACTCCTGTAATCGCAGTTATTTCACAATCAAAAATATTCATTTGCAAATCTCACTTTCAGTTAGATAGTAATGCGACTTTCGCTGTCTGTTTTCGACCTGAAACTCTTTCTTCATCTAACTTCACGAGTTAAGTTACGCTCCTGTAGCGCATAATTTTAATCTAATTTCAAAATCGTGCTGACAGGTTGTCAGCATTAACTATATATTACAATTTGGTACTGTACACATAATAGAGGAGCAAACAACAATGTTACCTATATCATCTTAACAGAATTGTTCCACCTTAAGGTCAACCACCTATATTCCCAAATTTGTTCTTACTACAGTATTATTTCTTCCATCATAAATTTGAACTGGAACGTTTAACCATTGTAAAACTAAAATCGATGAAGACTGCAAAATAACAAGTGGCTGTACTTGTTCATTTTGTATGAAACGCACATGGTATCCGCTTTCTACATCATTTGTTATCCATATAAAAAGTCACCAGTTCAAATAGGCTGATATCGGTATTTCCTTGTTATATTGAATCATACCTGCATCACACATTCATTTCCGCTTTGAACTTTGAATCTTTTACCATGCTCATCAAATAATGAAGAAAAACTGAACTTGAGTAAAGAATAACTAAAGGAATTCTATAAAACCGACTCCTCCCAAAATATCTTCCATCTTTTCTACAAATTCAATATCTGCATTTTTATCACTGCACTTTCATCAATAATTTTTACTTGTAAAATCAATCTACTGTATTATGACACGTTGTTTACACACCGCAAAACATTACTACGTTTTGCGTCAAAAAATTTCGTTTTAATCAAGTTGAAAAAAAACCACACAAAATTTGTTTGTAAAGTTTGGTTTTCTGCTTGTTCCATTCGGGAGTATAGAAATTTTTATTACTTCTATCAGTTCCGCATAATTAAATAATCAGTCCTCGAAAATTTCGTTTAGAATTCTGGCACTTTTCATCGAAGAAAAATACGGACAAATGATAACAACGTGAATACAGTGCAGCCTATAAACTTACTAAATTGTTAGCAAAATACAAGATGAAAACAAATTAAATATTACTTAAATAACTGCAAACATATAGAAAATATACTGCCTGTAACAGAAGGTAATGATTAAGAAAGGTAATAAGTAATTAAGCAAACAAATTAACAACTGAAAAAAGATTCCAGCCTTTCAACCTTGCGACTCACGATTTGGTAAACTGCTGCATAAAAAAGATAAGTGATATGTTTACGGTTAAATCTTGCCAGTTAGCAATGTAATAAGATTATCCGAGCGATGACTACTACAAGCAACAGGATAACTTGGTATTTCTTCAGAAACTATTACTATGATCTTTTAAGATATTATTACACCGATGTTCATCTAAAAATTATAGAAAAATCAAAGAATCTAAGTTCGACAACGAAATGGAAAGTTAATGAAGAGACATATTCAAATAAAAATTCGAACGAACAATGTCTCCCATTTGCTAGTAGATACAGTAAGTTGGGACCACAAAATATCAGCATTGGCTTTTAGGCAAAATCAAGCAGTTTTGAAATGACCAAATTAAATGGTTCCTGGTATAGCTTGTAAAACTTCCTTTCAAGTTTCTTGAACTTCTTTTAGGATCCGCCCAGAAAATTAGACCAAAAGGAAATTACCATGCCTTCGCATAAAGCGGGCTATAGAGCAAAACGAGAATAAAGAAAAAGAACAAAACTATTATTTGTAAGAAGTTGACCATGTAATAAATCATGAGCACTGGATTAAAATGTACAGTTGGAAAAGAGTAACCTAAACCAACAGTTAAATGCGCAATAACCTACGCAACCGAAACAAATTTAGCTGTTGCCAATATATCAGCTGTGTAAATTATGCTACAACCAAAAATCAAATATCTAAATTTGGGATTGAAAATGCAAAATAGACCAACTGTAAGTCATTAAAAGTCGTAAACATCACCAGCAGTTCGTTCACCGTAATGTTTCTGATGATTGTTGTAAATAATGCAGTGAAAAAGCATAGATTTTAAAATGTTTACATAGTTGACGCACCTAAAAACATGAAATCTAGATCAAATTCACACAACGTTTCTGGCATGTATTCAAAGTTATGAGAGCTTTTTGAAAAATTAATGGCAACTGCTTCAAAACTTTACCAATAATGTATTTATTTTGTTAAAAGTCAAGCAAATTAAAAGGAAGCCATGTTAAACTCAAACTAATTTCTTACCACACAAATTCCAAAATGTAAGTGAGTAAGAGTTATGATAATGACACCAAGTCGCAAAAAAATCAGTTCCTGATAAACTGATAAAAAACCCGACAGTGATGTTATGGCAACGACTGAATATATTGCTAGGCATAAATTAAATATTTCCGCACGAGTATTGCACATCTGCGCGACGATCAGTCTGCACTACAACAATCATGAAGGTTAACCAGTTATGGGAATTACTTATTAAGTAAATAATTAATGGTATATATGTAACGAATAGCAACTCTACTTGATACTTTCTGAATAATATTCTTATGTTAAATCTGTGAAACTTCCTTACTGCAATATTCGAAAAAACGGTCCCCATAGTATAGAGATAAAGACGAGGGTCACGTTCAACAATTTTTCCAGGAGAATACATTGCCCAAAGCACCGAAATTGAAAACAAAATTAAGGATGGATACAGAGGTAAGCACATTTCGTAAAAGTTGTCCTGTAGAAGTGAAAAAAAAAGTCAAAACCGACAATCTGAACAGCAAAATTGATTGAAATAGTATTTTGGATATTTAATTAATAATTTTGGATATTTAATTATTTACTTAGTATTTTGGATATCGTTGGGAATGTTCAATTCCTTGCTAGTAATCAAAAAGTTAAATAAGACTAAGAAATCACCTGTTTTCCAGTGTGGTCTACAAAATAAGATAAATAAATGTTTCGAGCTGATACCACCAACGATATGCAACAACACACTAAAATGGAAAACGTTGTACTTTTTGGCTGAAATTTTCACCTTAAATTGTCAAACCAGTTCAATTCTAAAGGTAATGATGACTTAGCAACACATGTATTCTTCCTGCGACAAAAGTTAGATTCTTATCTAGTTGACGACGGTTGATGTTTTCAACCATAATTATGTTGGAATGTGATGTTAAAGCAAGATAGTGTGATGTACTGAGCTACAGATCATGCATCAGCAATTTTTTTGCAAAAGTTCAATATAAATAGAAAACTGACCATAGAAACCTAATTCAAAACAAACAGCCATTGTAAAACCATCGAAAACATAAAACTTGAAGTATTCATTGCCTTTGAAAAATGCAAATAAGTAAAGTAGAGTAAGCCCCTTAAAATTTCAAAGTTTAGTTAGGACTTACTTTATATGCATAATATGTATATATGAACATCAAACTTTTAGAGAATTTGCTTATTGTGTTTCAAAAAACGCCAGATTTAGTCTGAACCGAAGCAAAATTAGAAAACTAATATTCAGAATTTAAACTCCAGTGTGATTCAAACATAAAAGGTAAAGGCTAACGTCTTGACTCAAATCACAGTTCCACGGGAGGAATAAAATTCCGGTATTATATTTTTCCCAATGTGAAACGATGAACACCGCTTGGACACTGATTAAAACTAGAAGAAGTCGAACCGGTGATAGACTAAAAAATTGAAAAATCATGGAACCAAAAAAAAATTTCCTAGTTTCTTGATCTTCCTGATTTGTTTTCAAAATATTTAGCACGTTACTTTTGTTTTTTTTTTGACTGTCAGCTTGGTTGATGAAAATTGCTCGAAGAAAAAGTTGGATCCAAAACACACCAATCTGGTCTTTGAAGGAACCTTAAGTGGTTTCTAACTCATAAACTGATGTTCCAAATCAGCCATATTTGTCGCTGATTTCATTAAACTTGCTTCTTTGGCTAAAAATTGATTTTCTTTTAGGGTGTGCTTAAAGAACCTTCACATTTACCTAAATTCACCTTGTCCAAAGATGGAGAAAATAGTTAGCGTAAGTGGAACTGTAGACCACGAATCCAAACCATGATCAACTGAAAAAATTACGATTAATAATCCTGTTTTTCGTGAAGTCCTGGAAAAATTACAATAGCATAAAAATTTCACTGGAGCTTCTTTATAATCATACACTGGTCCTTAAACATTCTGAAAAATCGAAGGAAAATCAATAATTTACACTTAAATACCAATATCTTTGTGGAACATATAATGTAATGTATCAAAAAACCAAGTGATTTCCAAATTCGTTCCAAATTCAGAATGATTATTACCAAGAAACTGAGAGTTAATAATGAAAGGACTAACAAAGTTCACCGGTTGGTCCGGATACTCCCATGCGACGTGCCTGCTTACCGTCGGTACCGTCTAATGTATGCCCAACAAAAGTACAAATCGAGCATAGCAACCAGACCCAATCGGGGATTGACTCTGCAATTTCAAATATCGAATCACAATGATAAATAAGGAGAGTAAATATAATAGGAATTTACATCTTTTACGCCAAATAATCTCTTATGTAGAATATCTGCTGGGTAATTATTTAGCTGACGCTATTCCTCAAGAGCCTTCAGAAACAACCTCTCCAATCTGCTTGTACACGCCACCATAATAATTCAAATAAATTTAAACGAGGGCCTAAGGAACACCATGTTTCACCATTACTACCAGTGACAGAAAATCTTCGTTAAAAACTAATGAAATTAAACCCCAGCAATAGGAAAAATTCCATCTTGGGGAATTAAATTTAAAATGAACGCAGAAAAGAAAGTTTTCCCGGAATTTTCGGCGAGAACATTCGAATTGGCTGCAACATAATAATCGTAATATGAGACGACCAAAAATGCGAACATAACAAATATGAATCCGGTGAGCGTCAATACATTTGGTGCCAGCCAAGTCGGATAAAACTGTCAAAATCGTTGTTCCAAATTAAAGTTCCAATGATTATATCAAAGCAATAAAAAATTCGAAATTTTATTTGAAACACAATAAGACTCAGAATATTATAGAAGAAAATTAACTGTAACCAATGCTCATATCTTATAAGGCAACAAAATCATAAGCAACAAGACGTGAAGAATATACCAACAATCAAGCAAGAGCATTTTACCTGCACAACCCAGTTCCAGAACGGATGTGAAACATATTTCGACAGAGGGCTTGAGTCCACACTGCAGTACTGAAATGAAATTTCATCAAAAAATGTAAAAATTCTAGAGAGGCTCAATGATCTTCTAAACGATAAATTAATCACTTTGTACTTGTCAAACCCTTTGATTTGTCGTTCGTTGAGATACTTGTAATCGAACAATTCTAATAGTATCATCTGTAAATGTAAGATGAAGTAATTGCATATTGAGAAGTTGGAAAAACGATTCCAATCAATACCCTCAAGGGATCAAGCACCATGAAATATCGATGAAAGATACTTTTCCAAACTTCTACGTCCACAATAATACTAAAATGAGTGACTCAGTTGCTGCCGGGTGGCAATACGAAACCCGATATTAATGAGGAGCTCTCCCAGTTATGCTACCCACGACCTCTCTGTCCTTCTCTGCCACCGCCCTACCTCTACCTCTTCGTTGCATCGTCTGTTGACAATCTCCTCAGATAGTATTATGTCTTATGTAATGATTTATTCCATACCCATCCAGAAGCATAGGGCGGTACAGGCCAGCGCTCATCCTCCCAATTGCATTAGTGGCAATTCACTAAGTGCCCAATTGCATTTCGGAGAAACGACGGGAATGATATATGTTAGCAGCAATTATACTTTGGCTGGCAATACTAAAAACACTTATAAGTCATCGACTGTATCGATTATTGATCGATCATTGTTGGGAAAGTTAATCTGTTGAACTCGTTTCTCAGCGATATAAATTTATTCGGGATGTAATAATGTTCTTGCGCAATATTACTAGTTAACAACAAAAACGGTGTAAAATATGTGTATATATTACGCGGTGAAGTGGTAAGCAGTGACATACAATAAGCAAGTAATATGATTAACTAACAAACTCCTTATCATTGCCTTTGATAGGTCGTTGAGTTAGGAATATGTTACGGGTTTGTTGTATATCGTAGTTTGTTGTCCAGTGGTGGCAGATATGCGAAGATGTCGTCATTTGTGATTCAGTTGTGGAGAATAAGCGACGAAGATCTATCGTCTGCTCGGTTGTAAAAAACTGTCTCGGGATTTATATATATAAGGATTAGGGAGGTTTATAAGCTCCATCGGGGCTATCATGGAGGTATGGCTAGCTTTGGCATTGTCCATTGTGTAGGTACAATGACATCATTGTCCCTGATGTAGATATTGAGATGTTTTTTGTGTTATGCTGTCCATTGTTATCTTATATCCTCTTCATTGCTTTAATTTTACTTACAAGATTTCGTCAACCCGTCTGTTGGATATTGTGGAAATTTTATTTGAACATAGCTTTAATTTCGGTAATCCGACAATCACAACCAGTGATGGCCTACCTTTCTCCCTGCAAATGTCACATTGACTAGGCAAGTTTTCGTAGTCTCTTTTAGCCTAATAATATGTGTTCCATATATATACATATATAATATATATATGTGTATATATACATGAACATATATATATGTCAGATACATGTATACACATACATGCACTTTTTTTTTTTACATACGCAGAAGCGTATAAATATATTTGTGTATATTAAATATGTTTAATGATTCGGTGGAGCATTTTTAAGTGTAAAGTTTAAGTATACACACCTATCCTTGGGCTATGGGAATTGATTTAAATTTGTTTAAAGTGAAATCAACTCGGAATACTTATTATAAATGATTGATGCCATCCTTTAAAGCGTATTTCTCTAATTCTTCCAATTTGTTTGTCATATTTCATTCAATCATCTCTAATTGTTTATACTTTGAATAATGTCAATTGTTGTAACGTTTCACAGAAAATTTCCAGGTGCGCCTCAAAAGTTTGATCTTTGTCCTCAATAATGAATATATCATTGCTCACAACGAAACACTCTACACTTCAAATCACTTTTTATTGACAAGAAACATACATACATACATGCATACACACATATATACGTACATGCACACATGCATACACACAGAAGCGTATAGATATATTTGTGTATATTATAATGACTCGGTGGAGCATTTTTAAGTATAAAGATATATAGTAACGGTGTCGTGAGAAGAGCAATGAATGGTCATGTGAAATAATGGTAAGGGAAGGGACAGTCAACCCATTCTTGTGCTTCTCGGGAAGTACCCGAGAAGTGCCGCGCTGTGACCATCGGTCAATAAAAATATTGTTTTGTGTACATGTGAGCATTCACTCTCATAATTTCTGTTTTCATTTGGTACGAAGCGGTGGCTGACACAACATATTCAGATAACGCAAGCGAGGGGTAGATGATTAAATGAGTGGGTAAATAGTTTTGTGGTTAACTTTGACACGTTTGTCAAACTTTATGCCTGGTTTCTGGTACGGTTTGAGCCTTTCAAATTCAGTTTTCAATTTGAATTTAGGTTTTATTTATCCAACGAAATAAGCTATTGATTTTTAAGCTATTGATTAAAACAAAGTGCTTTCTTCAACTTTAATTTTTGCTATGGTTCGAAACTTTGATCTAAAGACATAATTCCGTTTAACAAATTTATAAGTACAATTCAATCCTTCCTGATCTCTAATTTTAGGAGATTCTCAAGTTCAATGCAAGTCGTTTTAAACATTTTTTGTCGGCAAATTTTTCAGCAATATGAAAAAAGAGCTTTCCTTTACACTGACCCTTTCTGCGATATGGTAATTCTTCCTGTTGATTGTGAATGGGACTTATAAATAACTGTAGTGATTGAATAATCCATCCGTCTTTTGGACACTTTAGGCTGCTTTTTCGGATTGCGAGAGTGTTCTGAATTCTAGAAGTTCGTTCTACCAAGAAAAGAATCCGATCGGAGGTTTTGAATCTCTCAGTCGATTCCGGCCTAGCAACCACGAAATCAATAAGCGTAGTCCTTTCATCTCTAAAGAGGTATTGATTGCGCTAATTTTGGCAAGAATTTAAAATAAATTTCTATCACAATGATGACAAATGATTTTTTGCTGTTGATGGAGGGAAATTACTATCCATAGAAGGAAATTACCGACACTTTTTCCCTCTGTTTTCCCCTTTCTAAGCAGAGAAAATTCCCCCAATCAAATATTCCTTGCATTTTTAAATACTTCCCGGAGATCATTCTTTTCCGTTGGCGGTACTTTAAAAAAAAAAAAAAAAAAAAAAAAACTTGAGATATATCTTATCGTTCAACCTTTACGGATTGCTTCTTGGATGCCGGAGATCTCTCGCAAGAGGGAAATTCCAGATTCATTCTGGAATTAATTTTCTCTCTTGCATTTCCAACGAATATAGATCAATGATTTATACAGAAAAGCAGTTTACGATTTCGAAAATTGGAGCAATTCCTGTTAAATGTTCTTTTTCAATTCCCATTCCGCAACTGTTATTAATGCATCATAGAATATGAGAAAGTATTCTTCAGAAATTCATATTTTTCTACCCTGTGGCTGCTTTTTCTGCTTTGCTTGGTTAATTTCTCATCCATTGATGTATATTTGAAGCGTTGTCTGAAGAGAAATTCTGATATGGGATCAGGAAGAGTTACTGCTTATCTGTTCTCTTGACCTTTTCATTTTTTTTTTATCTACCCATCGCTAACAGTCTATCAAAAATCACGATACGAGAGAAATAGGGGGATAACATGTTTATTGTAGCAGCGCAATCTGTTAAGAGACATCTCTTAGGAGCCAAGATAGAGTATGTTCGCTGAAAAGAATTTTCATCCAAAAATCCCACAAACAGGGATAAACATGCCAGTCATGTCTTGAAAAAATTACGTCCAATAGATTCCAATTCGAACTTCTCCAATTTGTTATTCATGAGACTTAGAACTGATATTTTTTTATGGTTTAAAATTCTCTGATATTGGCAAAGTTTTTCTGGAATTTCTCCAAGTTGAAAGAAGAGATTATAACACTGCAAATGCATTTCGTTAATTTCGAATATTTCAGTTGAAGAGAAATGGCAGCATATGTTTGCAAATGCCTGAGACTATCAGTTGCTTTCAGAACTACAAGCATTGCCAACTTTTTAATGTCGTTTGATGTTTTAAAACGAATAGTTTTATCGAATGATTTTAAAAACTGCCCGCTAAAATTTTGAAACATTTGTACATGTGATGGTACCTAAGGTGTCTGTAATATTTTGGTTCATATCTTGAACTATTATTTTTGAGGACTTAAATATGATGCGGGCTTCTTTTCGGATAAATTGGTAATTAAATTTAAATGTAATCATGACCAGAAGCTTGTTTTTGGACAAAATTCTAGTCATGATTACATTTAAATTTAATTGCTAATTTATCCGAAAGGAAGCCCGCATCATATCAGATCACTCTTTAATGCGGAAGACAGTTTCTTCCGACATTAAATTTCGTTGTGCTTTTGGGACGCTAATAGCTGTAAAATGTCGAAACAGTCAATCTGCTGTCCTATTTGAAACTTCAAACAAATTTTTGACTGTGGTGGGAATAGCTTACAATGGTAACATATTGAGCGTCATCTGAGGAGGTGCATGATCAGGTTCGCTATTGTTGACGTACTTGGAAATCAAGGGAGAATAAACGAACGGTTCTGGTGATAATCGTTATGTCTTTTCGGAATTGATACGGTTCTGCATTTCAGCTGGTATACAGCGAAATCTTCCCTCATACGTTTAGTATCAGAGTGGATTATACTTCGATGAAATGGATTTTAGGAATAAGTTTATGTTTCACAGTTTCAACATAAATTCTCTATAGCATTTGAATTATGTTTAAAAAAAAAAAGAAAAGAATGACTTTACGTTTCATTTTTTTTGAAAAAATGAACAAATCTGTTGGATTTCATATCGCATTTTGCAGTGTCTACATTTTGGGTTCTTTTTCTTCTCTCCAGTTCACTTGTAATTTCCCAAGGTGCTGGTGTACAAAACCGTCGTCTAATGTTGTCAGACATTTTTCATTTCATTTTAGCAACGATCGGAAAAAAGTGAACAAGTTTGTTGATACGGACATTATCAGTTATTTAGTTCTCATCCATCCTTTCATGATACGTTCTAGAAATTATTCGGCAGAAACTTTCGAATCAATTTTAACTTCTCACATAAAATCGCAATCCTGTACTTAATCTTGTGGTCTTGCCTCACAAAATTATATTTATAATTGGTAATATTTGTTCGAAATTTTTCTACCCATATTTATCTATAGACGGGTAGATTTAATGGATAAGGGATGTTGTTATATGACCTCCACAACTATGTATGTGTTACATCTACATTTGATGATAACCATTTATTGAGGAAAGGAGGCAATCGCACATTCCGTTCCCCAATGTACGGGTCATTGTCCAGTCTTAAGACAAAGTAGCCACCAGCGTAAACTTTATATACCACCAGATTTCTATTGCCTTCCTGTCTGTCTGCCATCTGTTAGTTCTTAGTTTTATGTTTGTCCAGCAGCTGTCTAATGTGGATCAATACTTTTAAAATAAGTACTTATTCGGTCGGAATAAACAGAAAATTAGAATCCAAGCTTTCCGTGTGTCTTTCGAACTGGGTGATACTTGATCGAGCTAACGAAGGAACAAAGATATGCGTCCAACTTGAAGCATTGTATACCCTCCTTGGCCTTTTTCTCTTCAATCTTTTGGACCTTCTATAAGCTCTTTCCTTTCTTTTCCCTCTCATACTAATTTATATATTGATTTCTTCCTCTCCTTATGTGTCTCCCCGTTTGTTTATTGATTCGTCGTCTACTTTGCTGCGAATAAAATGACCCTATTTTCTGTAGTTCGATGACGCGTATTCCGCACCCCATAAATTTGTTATCATGTTTATTATCATTTATTATTATCACTATTAATTACTATTGTTAGCAGTGTTTCATTATTATTAATAATTACTATCACTGATAATTATTACTCATTATTATTGTCAGGATTGCATTCGTTAGTTAACAAAATCATTTTTTGTTTTTTTTTGCTTCTGTTTACTTTTTTCAGTCACAAAAGAGAGTTTAAAGATAGGAAGGACAGGAAAGATTCAGAAAACAAATGTTGTTAGGAAGGTCCTTTGTCATTTGTGGAAAGAACCAGATTCGATTTCTCTGTTCCTCAGATATTCAAGTGAATTGCAGTGGAAGATTTTGCTTTGGCCTTTTAGGAGCTCATTCCATCCTGACTTCAGATCTGTCCAGTTGTTGAATTTATCGATTAAATAGGATAAGTAAAGCCTCGAATGCTTAACAACAGCACCTTCTCTCCCTAAATCTTATTTCTCTTATCCATTATCGTTCATTAATGCAGTGTCATTTTGGTTTTTTTTTTGTAACTTTTTTATCAATTCATGGTTCACTTCATTTTTCACTTTCTTCAATTTGATGACTGCCACTTTCCCTACTTTAAGTAGATAATTCTCCCCTTTCATATTACCCAAAAAAAAAGAAAAAATAAGGGAGAGAACACCATTTCTTCATTCTTCGATGGTTTTTCGATATCAATGAATTATTATTGAATTTTCACTTTTCATGAACTTTTCTTCTTCCTTCTTTTTCCTGCGGTAAATTTATCAAAGTCCTAGGGACCAACTGCTCCTCTTCCTTTTTTTGTTGAATGGAAAAAATGGAGCGAGGAGGTATGATTTAGGTAAGAGACGGTCCTTACATATCACATAGGTCTTGAAAAAGTACCGCATTATTGCAGGAAGCGCAAAATGCGCTTAGTCTCTTAATTTTCTCCACGCATACGCTCCATATTTGGCGGGTCGTATACGGACAAAAATTTTAAGCGAATCATCATCATTCATACTTTTTGTGTAAACTGTCAAAAAACTTCAAATCAAGTTGTGATAAGTATGATAACTTTCAAGAGCTTCAAATAAGTTGAAATTTACAAAAAAGTACGATGAACGCAGTGATTTCCTTCCACCCATATGTGATCTATCTTTCGGAAGTGGCGTTTTTTTTTTTTTTGCTGTAGTACTGGGAAATAAATTTCATCAATTTATAAGCGAGAGAGGAAGAAGTCGCTGAAATTTAAGATTCAAATGGATCAATCCCACCTTAATATAACTTCTTTATGTGCAAGTACCTTATTCTTCCCAGCGTATTGGTAAAAAATTATGGAACGGGTTGTCATGAGCCACAGTAAATTTTTCTTCAAATAGAATAATGTAGAAAACCTGCTAATCTTTCATATCTCAGAAATCCATTGATCCATTGAGGACAAATCTTATTTAATCTTACTAATAAAATCGTATGATCTTATTTAAGATCTTACTGATAAGATCCTATGCTAAGGTAGTGCAGGAAAAAAAACTTGAGTATTCATTCGCAACACTACACATGCCATTCAGATGGTGTGCAAATATCAGCTTTAGCTATAACTTTTAAGATTTATTACACATTGTTGGCTTACCTTTCCATTCATCCCTTATTACTTTATTTGTTTATTTACATCTTATATATTTCTTGTTGTGCAATTAAATTTAACTTCGAAAGTCCTTCTATGAAATTGTAAATTTTCTGTAAAATTTACTATGATACAAAAAATACTGACTGAAAATTTTCCCACCAAGAACAGCAACCATAGTTTTTCCTTCAACAATTTCAATTAATTCACAAACATTATTAATAAAAATAATCAAAAAGTGATATATTCGAAGAAGAGATGAATCAAGATCCTGTTTCGATGTCTGATTGGTCTCGTCCCGTAATTCTCAAGAATTTAACTAAACAGTTTTTTCCCTTTAAAAACTTTTTCCTTTTGCAGTGAATTCACCGTCAGTATTTTTGCATTTTTTAAACGTTTCTATAAAATTTGTTAGGAAATCAAAATACAAAAAATATTTTTGACTGAAAATTTTTCCAACAAGAATAACAGGTGCAAAATTTTTTTTTGCAACTGTCATCAGTAGTACATATGAATTGAACCATTTGTCATCTCTCATTGGTTTTTGTCTTAACTGATTTTGAGCTCATGCATGTCATCTAGCAGTTGTTCAAATCCCAAGTAGATAGGTAGTATTATGACTTAACACCGGTATGTGTGTTTCTTCTTTAGTTTTTTTTTTTTCAAAAAGATTAGTTAAATTTTAAGGTTTACAGTATAGTTTTGATTAGTTAAATTTTGGGTCGTCTTGGTTGGGTCTTTTCAACAATTTGCAGTTTTCTCTCCAAATTTTTTTAATCGAAAGATTTCTTGCCCAATTTTTCCCTATGTGACACAGTTCTATAATTTTGGTTCTCGACAACTGAGCATTCTACTTTTTTTGTAAACATTTGATGATGATCATTACATCGTTCTATGAATGAGTACTCATTAATTTCTTTTTTTTTGTTTTGTTTTTTCACAGCTTTGACCTCTGACTGTTTCTGTCTTTTTTTTTTCTCAACTTTTTCCGTTTTCCTTCTTTTTTGGGATATCCAACTATTCAACTATGTAATTATATTACCCTTCTTTTTGCTCTTAATCCATCTTTGCTTAGTCCACTCCTACTCCTTTTTCAAAACATCAGCAATCGGAAAATGTTTTTGAGGATGAACTAGAGAGAGAGAGAGAGAGAGAGAGAGAGAGAGAGAGAGAGAGAGAGAGAGAGAG